GATCCAGCTTGGCACCATGATGGTGACTTGATAGTGTCCTGGAACTTCTGTGGAGCTGTCATGGAACTGGCAGGGAGCTAGAAAGGTTCTATTATTTTGCCAGTTTTAGGCCAGCTTGGGTACCGAGTTATTATGTTCAAAGATCTGGCCGAAATTGTGGAATAGTACTGGCCGAAATTATGGAGCGAATTTTGACTGCGCCTACTGCGCCATGGTCACGTGATCCTGTTACGGCACCGAACACCCTTTCATAGTTGCGGACTAGTAACGGGAATGTTCTGGGAATGTTTCCAGAACCCAATGTATATGCATTTGTGCAAAAAAAAAAATGTCTAAACAAGTACAAATCATAAATCCTGAAACTGGACAACAAATCACACTAGATGGCTTACACAATATTGCTGGCTAAGTTTAATTCTACTTTCGTCTACCTATTTGTCTCCAAGAGTGAGGCCGGAGGTATTATGCTTCTGAGGTTTTCGAGGTATATCGGCGGGATGTTGTAAGCACTTCTGAGGCCCTATCATAGTTTATTCTGGGTCGAAGCAGTGTGTATGCCGATTTTTGAGCGTCCCTAGTGTCCCTAGTAAAAGTAAAGTTATAGGAAAAAAAAAATATCGAATCCATCCTGTATGTATGCCGTCACCAAGAAAATTTGTTAGTGACTCTCTTAGTGACGCTCTTAGTGACACCCTTGTATGCCTTTTTCGGTGTTTGGGGACGCTCGGTTCTCTTCTTTTATATTTGTCACTAAGTCACTAAGAGTCACTAAGAAAAAGTAAAGTTCTAGGAAAAAAAATTGAATTTTTTCTATGCTACTCCTATGGCTTATATGCGATATAGTATGATACATATATAACATATGCGTGATACATATATGCTAAAAAAAAAAATGAAAAAAAGTTATGGAACTCGGATTTTTCTTAGTGACTCTTAGTGTCATAGTGACACCTATCTAGAAACCTTCTGATGGCTCTAAAAATGTGAAATAGCTATAAATTTTGTCACCGAGAGCTTTACCAAGAGTGTCACCAAGAAATTCTACAATTTATTGTAGGTTCGTCCAAAAGGCCATAGGGATAGTGACAACTTCTTATTCTTGTTTAAGTTCTCTCGATTAGCCTAAAATTACTTGAGCGGAATCTCTTTGGGACCATCAGCTTGCTTAGCCAGCTTTTTCCGATGGTAATGTTCCTTCGATCTATGTTTTTTTGCATGCGTATCGCAATAGTCATATTTGGATCTTGTCGGGTCACTACATTCTTTGCAAAGAACTTGCCTAGAATTCCGATGGACTTTACATCCCTTTGGATCAAAGCATCTCCGATTACATACTTCTCCAGTTCTAAGAATATATGGACAATAATAAAAATTCCAGGATGGTGGTTCTTTTTTGAGAACTCGTGTCTCCTTTTTTTCGCCTTCCATTTATATATATCAATTAATAATCTTGGGGAATTATTTTCATTTTGAACTTTTTTCTTGCGAATAATATACCCTGAGTTTTGGTATAGCTATAAATTATCTTAACTTGCTTGAGAAAAAAAAATGACCCAATCCGACTTCTTCGAAGACGCCCCGCCCCGTACTATTGTGGGTTTAAAGCCTCCGATATAGGACAATGCCAATATAAAATTCGTGATAATAATGTTAGACCAAGGCATTTTCTAGGGGCAGACAATGAGGATGGAATAGAAGCCATACTCTTAGAACGTGAAGGCCATTCATTGCACGAAATTATTGATGGAGATGAGCCACTCCGGCCTATTATCGACTTTGATTTGCGACGAGAAGTATATGACAGTCTTGACCCTAAACTCTCGGGCAAAGAGATATTAGAATCACTTATTCTTGCTTTTACAAAGACGTGTCATGAGATATTTCCGGAATGGGAGAATAAAACTAGAACTATTGCTAGTAGTAGTGATACCCAAAAAATGTCATACCATATCTTGACTTTCGGCATGAGGCTTAAAAATATTGCTCAGGTTTCAGTTTTCACCGAACTTGTTCGTAAAAAACTTCCAGTGGGATTACAGAAAAAAGGGATAATTGATAATATAGCAAATATAGGTTCTTTCAAATCTTTCTCCTTGCGGATGCTTGGAACGCCCAAATACGATAAAAAAAAAGAGGAGCATGTTCGTATAAAAAAGGCTATATACCCAAAAGATGGAACTATCTTTGACTTCATGATTCGTCCGCCTAACGATGATTCTAGAATCATTGATAGTCCTCTTTTGACTATTTCGGAGCCAGAAGTTAAGAGATACCCGACCAAAGGAAATGAAATTACTAATGCTGATATCGAAAATGACCAGGCTGAATTCGATTTCATAGAAACATTACTTAGAGATAATTCTATTGAAGGTTACACTCTCTCATTTCCTTCAGATAACATCCCTGACTTATTTCCATTAGTACGCAACTCTCCATCACACTGCCCAATATGTAATCGGGAACATGAAAGTGATAATGCATATATCCTACGAAATAAAAAAACATATAGATTTTATTGCCATCGTGGAAACCATGAAAGAGAACCTGGAACTAGGAATCCCTCAGTAAAGCTTACCATTAGCGAAACGGTTTTGGAGCGAGAAAAGAAACTCCCAGTTCCAGTAAGATTAGAGCAATCTAGAATTTCAAACCCAAAAGACCATTTCGTATGGTGGGATTTAATACATATGTGTACTTCAGGTAAGAAATTCTCCCGCGCTGAAGTTTATGAAGCAATCCAATCAACCATTGCCTATATTCAAAAGAAAATACCGATCTGGATATTAAAACATAAGGATCCAGAAAATGGGCTTTACTTCGATATGGGAGCCGAGCTAAAGCTTGCCAAGTTTGAGATTAAAATAATCGAATATGGGGGTGAAGCAGTGAAGTTAAAATCATTGATAGACCAGGCAGTTATTAAAGGTCTAATAGTTTATGAAGATTATAATTTCCTTCCATACCCCATAAATGTTTCTCAGCCAGTTACGGATTTCTTTAACCTTTTCTTAGGATTTTTGGCTAAACCAGCGCCAGAAATTAATAAAGAAATTATGAATCCGATTCTCTGGCATGTATTAAACATAATTTGTGATGGAAACGAAGAACTCAATGAGTATATCTGGAACTGGTGGGCATATTTAGTACAGAAGCCACAGAAGAAGCCTCGAACCATCTTAGTACTAAAATCCACACTACAACAGTGCGGAAAAAATATTATTACTGACTTTATTGGGGACAAAGTCTTGGGGCAACATCTTCATTATGCAACATCGGATTTAGAAAAAATTCTTGGGCGTTTTAATAGCGCCATTCAAGCTCGAAAGCTTATTGTCATGAATGAAACAGGTATGTCTAATGGTGATTGGCATAGATTTAATGGACATCTTAAATCTCTCATAACAGAAGGAAAAGTATCTATAGAGCGAAAGGGTCTTGAACTTAAGCGATTAAATGATTTTGCTGGGTATATGGTTACAAGCAATCAGGATGCTCCGCTCAAAATAGATATAGGAGATTCTCGTATAGTTTGTTTTGATGTCTCGGCACGCTGTAGAGGTAATATACCATATTTTGATCAGCTGGGGGAAATTTTAGACCACCCTGATGCGCCAGGAGTAGTCATGTCATACCTTCTTAGCCGTGATTTATCGAAATTCAAACCAGGAAAAATTCCTTCTACAAAAATGAAAGTAGATACAATGCGTGATCAGCTTCCTAGTCCCATTCGATTTATAATTGACTATATTACATCTAGGGCTGAGGGTGGAACATCCACGCAAAGTCGTACATCATTATATCAAAAGTATCTTGAATGGTGTGGAGAGAATGGTGAAAAACTATTGACTAGTAAAGTTGCTGGAAAAAAGTTTTCTGAAATTGGTATTGAAAGCAAACAAGTGCAAACAGGTGGTGGGAAAAGAGAATGGCAATACATTCTTGACCGCTCCAAGATCATAGCTAAGCTCCGTGAATCTGGCTTAGGTGATATCGAAGAATTTTCTGACATACCTCAACCTGACTTACCCACAAACGAGGCCACAGACATACCCATATTCAATATGCCAGAAATAATTCCTCCAAAAATAATCCCGCCCCAGCCAGAAGAGAATCTCCTTCCAAGAGATAAGAAAGCTGAACCCCCAATCGCCTCAACATCTGGGACATCCGAGAGTACTAAGACTTCCGAATCACCTGAGTCACTAATAGATAAACCCGAACCTAGCAATAAAAAAGCTTCTTCCACATCCCCGGCTAGACAAGAGCGAGAAGAGCGCCTCAGGAAATGGGCTATCGATCATGGTGAAGACCCAGACGTATTCGTGACCATCACAGAAAAAGATATCAGACTATTCCATGAATATCGAGACAGGATGATGTCGGACGCAGATGCCGTCGATTTTGCGAAAGCAGACGGTATGGACGTAAACGATATATTTTGGATGTCTAGAAGGGAAAGATTAATAAGTGAAGAAATATATCTCCGCAACTTCGAGAATGTGGGAAAGCCCCGGACATATGTTTATGATGATGAGGAGTGGCAAAAAGGTATTAGCATACTCCAAGAGAACGGTTACTTATGGTAGGTTTGACCAATAGTGGCAAAAAATATAAGCATATTCAGCGCAAGCGCAGAGAATGGTATGCTTTGGTAAAGAGCGAATAAGAGTGGGTTATGAAATATTAGTAGGGATGGGACTTTCGTTCTTTACAATTAGGCGATATAAAATCCCAAATTATTATTATTTTTTCGCATATCCTATCTACCCGCAATTTTCAAATATATATAAAAGCTATTCCGGCTGGAGTTCGTGGCCTCATAGAGAGCCCGCAGAAGTTATAATATTCTTTTTTTGTTCATCCGAAACCCCTCCGACCCTCTCCCGCAGTCCTTAGATAGGGAGAATTATTTATTTTTTTTCGAATTGAACTTTCTCCGCATAGTATATACCAAACAACCTAGGTATAACCAAATATCTTACATATTACCAAATAATAACATGGCTGGCATCGCTACTAGATATATAACAGAAAACGAGCTCAATACCGAGATGAGTATCGAAGAGCTAAGTAAGCACGCACCGGCGTTGGATATTCTTTTAACGGACAAAGTTAAGAGGGATCAGGCACGACGACGTCTCAAAAAAGGATACAACTTTAGCGAAGAACAGGTATTTACATTAATTCCTAAGCTAACAGCTGGTCGGAAAAAAGGAGGAGCCTTACCCAATGCTCCTGATACTCCCGATATCACCCAAGAAGTAGAACCGGACACAGTGAATACATGTCAAATTTCACCGAAAGAGACTATTAGAGATTTGGCCCAGCGTATCATTCGGGATAATCTTAGTGAAGTAGAAGTTAAAGTATAGCAAAAGCCTTAGCTGAATCTGCTTCTAATGCTAGCGCTGGCTTATCACGAATCTCTAGGCTTCGAAGAGAGTTGCGAAACCTCAAAGCCTCAGAAAAAATTATCTCAGCTACATTGATTCCAGACATAACCCGCTCAGCTAATAAAATCCAAAAGGAGCGTAGTAAACAATGTGAAGATGAAGGGATCGATTTTCCGGACCACTTCTCGTTAGAATCAGTTAAGGAGAGATTGGATATATATGATGTATCCAGAGCCCCTGGCTTACAAGCCCTTGCCGATGTAACGATAATGCTCTGCATCCGTCCTGCTGAAATAAAAACCTTGCGTATATCTAATGGAGGTGTAACTGGATATGCAAAAAATCGAGGACAACAAGACATTCCTCGAGTATTTAGATCACTAGAGAAGAACGAGGAGCGAGCTAGAGAATTGCTTGTATGGATTCAGGATGCGATTTCTTCTGGACAGTTATGAGACCCTGGAAAGCCCGGAGTGTTGTAGTTCAATACATTTCTGAAAAAAGATGAGTTCCTTCCTGAAACCGGCAAACCACTACTTCCTAGTTCTTTGCGTAAATTAGAGGCAGTATTTGCAGTTGTATCTCATGGTGCAAAGAATTTATCAGAAGCTATGACTATTGCCAGTGAAGGATTAAGACATTCGCCAGATAACCATGCCTCCCCAGCAAAAAACTATACAATAGTGAATTATCGAAAAAGAGGACAACCTTATGATCAGGCGAAGGCAATCAAGATCTTTGATGAAAACTAATCACATATAAAGGTTAGAGGGTCGGGATATCAATGTGCGTAATTTTATTTTTCGCTCGAGGCAAGATCTAGCATATATAAATATCACGAAAATGGTAACCGATCAAAAGCATTCATCTGATAGTGCACAGTTCCAAAGGGACCAGGTTATCAGACGTACAGAGAAAACAGCCCGAATATTTGGACTAGACAAGCAGAATGCAGAAGTATATAGTACGCTTTCTGGAGAAATAAAAGCGCTAACAAATAGGCTGGATCATTATTGTTCTCAGCATAAAAAGCTTAAAAAGAGGGTTAAACCACTAGAAGAACGTGTAAAGTGGCTGGATGATAATGTAGACGAACTATTTACTATAGAATATTGCAATTGTAGTAAAGAATCCATAAATACTTCGTCCGAGTCCAGTTCATCTGAGGAATTCGATTCCGATCATGCGCCACCAGAAAGAGAAAATCTGACAATAAGGCGAAGCCAAGAAGGTATCCGATCTGAATAGTCTGATTTAACTAGTTATCACTTCGTGCTATAACTAACCATATTTTCCGATTGAAAATTCTTCTATCATATAAAAATGCATGAATCGAATTTACTTGAGCTTCTTCCGCCAGAGTTGATATCATTATTTTAAAGTATCTTCCAGATCTAAAACATGCTAGCGGTATAAATGACATATGGGAAAGAGAGGTGAATCTTGAACGGCCCAAAAGGGTAATTCTCACAGATTTTCGATTTAGGATTGACATAGGCGCTAATGCAAATTTCATTAGTGAAAAAAATTGTGAAAATAGCATACGCAAAAGACAATAGTATTCCTAGAGTATACGGGTTTCTAGATGAGTCTTATTCCACACTAGGAAAGGTTAATCTACGTATTATCTTAAATGATGGTGAGAAGCATAAAATCATACCCACTGAATTTATAGTTACTGGACCAGATTGGCCTGATCAATTTCCTGAAATACTTTTGGGCTCACCATGGATGCGAGAAAATAGTGTACGCTTAAATATGTGTAATTCGACACTAACAATAGATGATAATTTTGTGATCCTCCCATATCGAAGTCAAATCCGGTCCTACCAATAGTCCGGAGCAGTGATCATTGGTGTAGAATCACATTTTTTTCGATTAAAGATACAGCATATATTATTTATGGCGCATTTAGGTGTTATAAATTTACCGGAACTATTGGAGCGGATTCTATATTTCCTAGTGGTAGATAAGACACTTTATCCCGCTCTATTTGTTTCCCGATTATGGTACAGATGCGGTGCCCCTATTCTATGGAAACGCATCGAGCTAAAGTGGAAGAATAAATGCCACTCTCGATTGAAAAAATTCATAAAACTAGTACGTAGGAAGCAAAAGCCAGTTTATTGCTTAAATGTAATTCATCTCGAAATATCATACTACCATTCACTTTCAGATAAAAAAATCATAAGCATTGTACATTCATGCCCAAATATAATCCATTTGAGTTTCAAAAATAGCGTAGGATTTAGTAATAGAGCATTAGAACTGATAGCAGGTTCATACCCGAATTTGAAGTATCTCAATCTGTGTGATGATAGGAGTTTTCGTACTCGAGAAGTAGATGACGAGGGTCTATGGAAAATCGTGAAGTCATGCCATAAATTAGAATATTTAAATATTGACTATCTCACAGAGATTACCGAACATTCAATTTGTGGTATTATTCGCTCCAATCCAAAGCTCCAGCATCTTGACCTTAGCTATTGTAAAATTACCGATGTGACTATCGAAGAAATTGCTAGATCATGTCTCAAATTAAAATATCTTAATCTGAGGGGGTGTGTTAATATTAGCAAAAAAGCTATAGATCAGCTAAATCCAAATACCCATGTTGAGAATTACCGGGATCCGATTGATATTCGAGCTGAGATGGAGCGAGTGATAGAGCTAATATCAAGACAGCCTAGAGTTGTTAATATTAGAAGTCGGCTTCACCAGATATTACGACAACCTAATTCCAATATATTCATGACAGTTGACTCTGGTGCCGATCACTCCACTATAGATATCAGACAAGCACCAAGGAATTATTCGATAGTATTATTCGACGATCTAGCTAGTCCGGAGAGATGATCATTAGCTCGGAAGAATTTGCTGGGCCACAGATTGTGCGACAAAAAATAAGTGGATCATCAGTCAGGTCTTGTGCGACATATTAATTTTGCATATAAAAACATTAATCTTTATTCTTTATTTTTTTCCCCAAACAATCATGAGAAAATGTGAAAGAATGTCTACAAGCAACACAGGACCAGCTCTAAAAGTAAATATTAACGTCAAAAGTATATGTTATGAAGGGCTGAGGGACTCGCAATTTTGAGATCGCCAGGCGTAAAACCAATATGTGTCTTCCGGTAGATCTACATGTGAAAAGGTTTGAAAATTCCGTTAGCATGCGCTTTCATAGAACTCTTGGCATCATACGACATTGTTAATCATGACTCATATCTCCTTAACTTTTTCCCAGCAAGATATAAAGCATGTAGAGATATGTGGAAGTTCAGCCAACTTTCCGCAAAAATTTTAAGGTATGTATATGTCAGAAGTTATGTATCTATGGGAACGAGCGTCAAGCCGAAAGAAATTTCTCACTATAGCCTTATTACCGATAGATAACAAGAAGCAAGATGTCTACCACCGATAATAGCGACATTATAAGCCTTAACCTCCGTTTCCGTAATAGTCAAAATAGAAATGTAATTTTCGTGATCGAGGTTTCCAAGAACGACCTTGTCTCTGTTATTGCGGATAGAGTTAGGGCTATATTAGCACCTCATCTTCCAGTCCGTCCGCATAACTTTCATCTTCAACAAATTTATCCAACCAACAAAGAAGACGTATGCAACCAGAGAATATGATTTCGGCTTATTTTCCTGAGAATCCGGATGAAGATATGATTCATATTTTTGTCTACCCTCCCCTTTCCCCCGAATAATAATTTCTATGTCATGTAATAGCGATATATTCGCATTTTTTATGTAATAGTTGCTCCGGCAACGATTTATTCATAAATAATAAAGTATCATTTTACCAGTACATCGAGAAAGCGGGTCACGTGTAATGATGCAATGCCTGTACTACATAAAAACCTATATTAATGGCCAGTATTCTCTTTCCCGAATAGAAATATTTTTTTATCTTACTCCGGAAAGTAACACTATTTTTTGTCCGAGCCCAATATCCCTATAAAAACTTAACGCTATGTCTGAAACTAGTACACCTTATACTCCAGCTTCCACCTCCACTACTGTTGCTGGAAATGAGACGGTCTCGTTGGCGNTGAAACTAGTACACCTTATACTCCAGCTTCCACCTCCACTACTGTTGCTGGAAATGAGACGGTCTCGTTGGCGGACGAAATTAAGAAATATGACACAGAGAAACTTATTTCTTTTTTGCAGGAACGTGGCTTAGGGCTAGACTTGGACGATGAAAATATTATTCGCAAGGAGAAGATTACGGGCCAGGACTTCTTTGACTTGACCGAAGAGAAATTTCGCAGTGTTGGTTTAGGCTTGGGTCCTGCATCAAGACTCGTGAAGTTCGCCAAGGAGTGTAAGGATAAGAAGTTGAGGGCTTTTTCGACATACCGTAGCTTAAAGGAAGTATTAGAAAAATATGACCTCGCTTCTGAGGGCACAGAGATTATACCTCTTTTCACACCACGAATCCATGAAATCCCAGACGAAAATAAGCATCTCGAACTGTGTATGGCAGATATCAAGTTACGACTTAAAAGCTATGGGACATTGGTAATAACAAGTTTGGAGTCCATGCGCAATGAGTACGTTTCAACTATACTACATACCGCCCTTCGTATCGCAGAAGATATCACGAAAAAGAAATTTAGTATGAGGCCTGAGTACGAAATAATTGGAGATGAAAGTAGCGGGCGGGTCGATTATGCAATCAAGGTAAGCCTTCCTTGGATTCTTACCGTTCCTCCTAAATCCTATGTGGTCCTAGAGAGACCTATTAACTTATCGCAAAATATAAACTTATAGGAATCCGAAGAGCTTATTTGCATCACAGAGGATAAGGTCCAGCAAAAATTAACAGAAGGCTTTGCTCAGAATATCAAGCAACTCGAAAGTTCGTTTCAAACGAACAAGAGAAAACGAAAGCGTGATGAGGACTATTTTGACTATCTGTACGGGGTTGTGACGTCTGCTAGGGATTGGCATTTTCTCCTCTATTCTCCAGGTGAAATATTACAGGCGAGTAAGGCCCCCTTTAGCATCGAATTTGTCGAAGAGGCTCTGGTTGAGAACTCCGAAGAATATAAAACATTGCGTAAGGGTGTTAAGAAGGTTTTGGGCATAATCATTGGCTTGTTGGAAGATAGGGCATGTGTGGAGGATAAATCGGATAGAAAGAGAGCTAGGATAGAGGGGTATCGCTTGAAAAAATAATCATACATATTAGCCTAGATGTTATGTATCATGGGCAAAGTCCCGAACATTTGTATTTATTTTAGCATGTATTAATAAAAAATTTTCTTGGCAAATTTCAGCGACGGCCCGTCGCCCAAAACATGTGATATATTTTTTATTTTGAATGCTTATATACATTTTAGTTATATATAGATCATGTCATCCGAGCTTGAATCATTGAAACAGCGTATCATTGAATAATGAAAGAATAGCTGAACTTAAACCGGAAATCGTTATTCCTAATAGGATACAAAAAATTAAGGAGTTCGATCTCCTATATCCACAGGTATAAGTAATTGCGTCACAGGCATGCATAATCTTCCGGGGAATTATCCATTCAATAATTATTAAGATCCCAACCTTTCACGGGATCGGCTAACGCATCCAAGAGTACATTATGTTCTTTCACTCCAAATGCATTAGACCTAGAGAATGCGTCGAATAATCTATTTTTTTCTTGATCAGATATATCTGGAAGACGTCTGGTAAATTCCATGAGTACAATGTTCCGATGACGAGCTTCCCGGGTTTGATAAAGTTTTTTCAAAGCATCTTCACCAAAACGTCTTTATCCAGTATATCTTTTCCTAGGGTCCCAATAATTATCCTGATCATCATCACTATCTTCTTCGTCGATGTCAGATTCGTTATTGTCATCATCATCCATGTTGACGGGCGAGACTTCATTATCTAATAATCCCAAAGCCTCCAAGAATTCGTATACCTCAATTTTATCACCAGCACTAGTGTCAGAATAGGTTTGTTCCATGACGATAATATACCAAAATATCTTATCTTCAATTTAGGTTATTTACCTTTCCTCGTCTATGGTCGCTCCGCATACCAGCATCGGGCGAAAATATGTTACGTCACTAAACACATGACGATTTGATAAAATACTCACGAGAACCATGATATATATATATATATATTGATGATCCCGCACCTCAGTCAATTATGAGTCCTATTATCTCTCCGGTAACCGCCTAGAAGAATTATTGGGCGAATCAATTACTCGCATGTACGCCACTGACATCCAGTGTTGGGCCGAACATAACTTCCTTGCAGTGTCCGAGTTAAAAAATCCCAACACTGCCGGCATCTGTAGTCATCATTTTTAGAGGATCTATTAATAAATTCAGCAAGAGCAATATTTTTGTGTTGCTACTTTCCTCAAAGTTCTGGTATGTTCTATCTCACTCATACGCAGTTCTGAATTACTAATAAAAAAACCACATCCGCGTTGATAAAAAGAAATAAATAGAGCCGATTAGAATATATGATTTTCAGATCTTCGGATAAACGGTATATTTTTATTATCTTACTGACGTTAGTGCATTCAGATTACGTATATAGGCTAATCATACATTGATCCGTTTTTGAATAGGAATTAGTAATGCATGTGTGATTCGTCATCTACAGATCTCGATCCATGATGAACCGATTTTTATTCTTTTTTTGTGATTACAATTGAAATAGGGGGTAGGGTAATAATAACTATTCTACATAACGAACTTCAATAAGAATTAGTAATACCAACGTGTACAGATTAATCACACATTAATCCGTTTTTGAATAAGAATTAGCGTTAGTAATACCAACGTGTATAGGCTAATCACACATTAATCCGTTTATATACAATTCATATCTCGAACCCGCCCACAAGGGGCCTCAAATATTCCGATTTTTATAACAATCGAAATAAGGAGTGCATCAATTGCGAAGCATAAAACGGATTTTCTTTGTCCTTAACAATCAGGCTCTGGTAACCGACGTAATTATGAAGATAAAGGGCTTCACAGATCTCTGGATAAACGATACATTTAGCTTATTTTGACTAGTGCAATGACGAAATAAGGTGCGTAATTACTGATGAAAAGATATTATTGTTGAAGTCTGGTTGAAGTCGGGTTGAAACTGCGCTTCAGCAAAAAACTCTCAATAACCGCACTTTTTTTCTCATATTCATCCGAAAAAGAAAAGCTATCAGGGTAAATAAGTTGGATAGGTTATCTTCCGCAGACTGATAGTCGTAAAAATGAAAAAAATAACGAAAAATGTAATGTCTGGTTGAAGTCTGGTTGAACTATGGTTGATGTACAGCTGATGTCCAGTTGTACAAAAAGGAAATAAAACCCCCTTATTACGTAACAATGCTCTAGGGCATATAAACAACATATCAACGAAAAACTTACCCAAAGTTCTAGCGCTCCAACACCCTGTCTCATAAAACTCTGTTATTGAACAAATTCGTACTCTTATTGATGAACGTAGAAATAGAAACGTGGAGGTAGTTAGCTTTGCTAACAAGGAATCGGCAAAGATTCTGGAATAGTATTGCGGATAGAATCAATCGAGAGTATGGAACGGTTACCAATGTAAAGAAAAATTTTCGAATCTTGTTCGGGATTATAATGTAAGTAAGTTACCACTGTTATTTGAGAAGATACCTCTGGTATCGAATCATGTTTTTTTCTCACATTATCATTTTGAAGGGGGGAGGTTCTAACTGTTGCCTTTGGTAACTAGGGTATGTGTGATTTTATAGCCGGTAGTCGTAGAGCTAGAAGAAGTCGAACGGGTGCACAATATTTTGATGAATTTCGTTCGCATTTTTGGGAGAGACCTGAAGATGAATTCGATAGAATCCGCAGTATTAATACTTTAAACCGAAGGCGAAGTAGGGGTAATGGAAATATTACACTCGCACCATCTACCAGGGAAGTCGAACGCGAATTGAAATCCTCTGAAAGACGGATAAGCCGAAGTCCACGAAGACAATTACCATCCGTTAGTCAAAGACGAACAGCATCTCGACCTTCAAACAACGATAATATGGACATTGTTTGCTTAAGCAAACGTATGAAAGACGAAATGGCGAGACTTCAGCACCTCAACCGCGGTACCTTTGGTACCCTGCTACTGCATTGGAAAATTTAAATGTAGAAGTGATCATCCCCAAACCTTTTATTAGTTTTATCCTTTTCTTAGCCTGTCAGCCCTTTCTCATGTAATACTTTACAGAGTTATAATAAAGAATTCGTTTGATTTTTTAGCTCCTCTAGAGCGCCCCATCGGGGCAAAAAAATGTGTTTATTTTGCTAGTATCAATAATTACATTTGCTTTTGACAACTAGATCGTTAAAAATTATTCTACAGCTAGCTCCTTCGGGGCGCTCCATAGGAGCTAATAAAAAAAAAATCTCTATTTGTTATTGTTCTTCTGAACTGCCTAGAGACTACGGGAGTCTCAATGGAAGGCGTTATGGGTCTTGAATATTCTGTTTGTTTATAGGAAAGGGAAGAAGTGTCAGAACCTGTTTCGCGTACAGTAATTTTCATCAAACGTATTCTTAAAAAATATAATAAAAAGAAATTTAAAATATGATATTCTGTTATAATTTGCATTGTTTTGCTAGTACATTAAAAACTTGTCTATTAGAATCTGTTTTAGAAAGGTAGATCTGCATTCTTTGTGATTTTTATGAAATAGAAATGATGGTATTCGTTAGTACCTCAAATAAGATTAGTTTAAGGATAGTAAAATTAACAAAAACTTAGATAGCAATACAAAGTAGTGGGAAGAAACTGCCATTGTATGGATTATGCTCAGCTAATCCCCTTTAGACCCACTACTCCAACTTCATATTAAAGATTTGTTTCGCCTGATTTTAAAACTTTTATTAGTAAAAATATAATATACATGTATGATATCCGAGCAATAGTTAAAACTAAATTCGTTATCACAGCTACAACTGAGCCTATGCTAAACAATAAATTTCGTTCTATTTCTGCTTTTACATTTGTTATGGTTTGCGTTTCTTAGATTTCTTTGTCATCTTGGTATCAGAACTGTGTTTCTTTGAAGATGAGGACGAGGGTGGGGATGAAGGCGGATCTGGTAAATCTAGGATTCTATTATTGGAGCAAAAGCGTTCAATTTTGCCAGCAGTTGACAACTCTCCAGCAAATTCGAGATCATTTGATTGTTCAGGAGTTTTCAACAGGGAAATTGTGCGAGCTATTCGTAGCTTTATTTGGAATAAAAACAACACTAGATCAGTAAAGATTCGTACATGATCATAAATAAGCAAACCAAATTATACCTTGCTTGATAACACAGCCGTCATCAGCTTCAACAGATTGTCAATTTCCACCGGTTCCTTGGGAACTTCTAATAGGGCTCCTTTTCGTAGGCGTATCATATACCCTTCTGCATAGTCAAGGGCGAATATCTGCAACATTCTCTCTGATAATAAAAAGTCGTTTGTGTTATAAATATAAAAGTCATGCTTGTAGACAGTTAAACCTACCCGAATGCAAATATCCAACCATCTCGATTTGCTTAAATACTTCTGTACTTAACTCCGCTGAAAATCTTCCCAACATGTCTCGTAGCATTCTAGTCAACTTGAAACCATCTGACATAAATTTCTTATCCTTTTCACCCTTAAAAAGATGTCCATGCTCCGCAGCACCATATTCACAAAGACCTTTTTCCATGCGGAACACTCCATCACCACGGCGACCGAACGGTTTACGTTCTTGCATAATTCTATTCTTTGCTTTGCGCTCACTACTAGCAATAGAACAAGATTCTCCCCTAAATGTTCAAACGTTATGAATTTAAACAGGAATAATTATTAAGCTATTTAAGCTATTCTTCAGATTACCTGATGAGCTCCACGTCCTTCAAGTTCCACATACATTGATCGATAATTGATGACCAGATGTTTGTGTCATACCACCGCTCAAGATGCGATTTCTCAAAAACACGCGGTTTTATTTCATACAGAGTCAACCTATCATATCCAATTCGAACAAGTTCTAGTTAAAGACTCCATAAAAGCATTAATGTGATATTGTGATGAATTAAACTTACAAATTACTTATGCAGTTCCTAATCCATATATAGTCGAACTGTTCTTCCACATCATAAACAGTTTTTTCACACAGTTTGCTGACCGTTTTTCGAAGATCTTTTACATTCGTCTATAAAATAGAAAAATATTAGCATTGAGCAAACAAATAACTTTTTCGAAATACGTGCTTTTCTGTACTGCGTTATGTAACATAGAAGATCAGGCTCGATTTTTGGCGATTTTTTAGAATTTTTCTCGAGAATCTCGTTCCATTCATTTGCAGAGAAGAGGTCACGAATCTTTTTATCATCAGTGTCTAGAACAAATGAATGAACCAAACTGAAGCACATGCGTAAAATCAATTAGTAATTGCATATGATGAAGTGTGAATTTGGATTGATAATGCCAAACTTACTTTTCGTATTTGAGCTTTGATCCATATTTGTAGATGATGTCTTCAACCTTGTTTCCAGATCCCAGTATCCACTTTTTTTCGTCATCAAGTCCTTTGTATGAAGATTCAAACTGCTCAATGAAACTTCTAGTGTTCTCATTACTAATAGGATAGAGGACTGTAATAAGTAACGCGATGTTTATTATAAAGGAAATAGAAATAGTTTAGCACTATAGCAACCTCTGTTCCTTAGTTATTTCATTTTCCATTTCTCTTATTTCATTCTTCCGATGAAGGATTATTGATGTCCAAAACATCCGAAAGTACTCAATATCTTTAAATTCACGTTTAATCTGTCGAGAAAAATACTGTTAGTGATAAATAATTTCTAGGCAATAATTTTTAGGCTAAGGAAAGTGTGGGACTGAGGTTGATTACCCATACTCTATTCAGGATTTACCCGTCAAGAGCTGTCCACACATATACACAATATACCGTAACTTAAACTGAGGTTTATTACCCGTACTCTGTTCAGGATTTACCCGTCGAGAGCTGTCCACACATATATACAGTATACCGCAACTTGGACTGAGGTTTATTACCCGTACTCTGTTCAGGATTTACCCGTCGAGAGCTGTCCACACATATATATAGTATACCACAACTCGGACTGAGGTTTATTACCCGTACTCTTTTCAGGATTTACCCGTCGAGAGCTGTCCACACATATATACAGTATACCACAACTTGGACCGAGGTTTATTACCCGTACTCTTTTCAGGATTTACCCGTCGAGAGCTGTCCACATACAAATATCTAATGCTACTTAAACTGAGTTTTTTTTACCTTCTCTTTCACGTTAGTTTCCAAATGTGCAATCTCTTCTAGGAAGCGTTTGCACCATACGCTTTGCAAATTATCCCAGGTCTTTGAAAAGGGTGGGAGATGACAATAAGGGGCCGGCTGACGTTTAAAAACTGTACATATGATAATTCCTCTGGAGAGACATCAGCAACATAACTCCGAAGAGCTGTCAAGTAAAAATTGATTAATATAAAACTGACAATCCTTAAAATAAGAATAGTTTGACTACCGGAATGACCAAGGAACTTTTCTTTGAAGGATAAGAGTGATGGAAGATCCATGGTGCGAACTTCAGAAAAGACTAAAAAACGGAAACCGGTTAAACATTTATTTTACGCGTTTACGCGTTTCATTTAATAGTCATATGACATGTTGATTGATCATCGTATGTCAGCATATTTTTTCTGCGGATATAATTCACGTGAACCAATGACTTACTGCGTATGATATATAGAAAAAGACTCAGGTGGATCTGGAAAATTTTGATCGTAACGGTTTTAATAATTCAAACATCTTTTTATTTTCCAATGCACAATATGTCATCATGAAAATCATCCTGCAGAAGATTTTCTATACTAAAACATCCCTAATAATACTAACTTTTCGAGGACACTCCCGGCACGGTCTATCTCTATACCAGTAGTCACTGCTATCAGGTAGGGAAGAGATCAAGCCAGGGCGCCCCAACATAATGTTACTTCTTTTCTGACTAACTGACTATTATTGAGATCTACAATTTCATAATAATAATATTCGGGATTTTGTGCCCATTTTATTAAGGTATACCAATTTACACTATAAAAAGCACATATATAACCTACTTTGTATCACCGAAGGGAAGCCACGCAATATTATGTTCAGGTAAATCTGTTCGTCTTCTTAGTCTATTGGCTTCGAGATAAGAAGGCTAAAGAGGGATGTATTTTATTTATTAGAATCTAGCACAGCTTGAAAGCGCGTTTCAGACGAATAAAAAGAAACGAACTGCGGTCAAACGTTTGGGAACGACTATTTTGACTATATTTATGGTATCGTGACCACGGGCACGGAGTGGTACTTTATCATATATACTCCAGACGGTATTTTCTGTACAAGCGGTAGTGAATACCAAATTAATCTTACGAAGTCCGCCATTAAAGAAAATCCTGAGCTACTTCGAAGCAATGTGAAAAGGGTAATAGGTATTATTGTTGGGTTATTAAAAGATAGGGTTAGTGTTGATAGTTCCCCAACTAGCAAGAGGGCCAGAATCAAAAAAATTATCAAAAAATAATACCATAAATGTTATGTATCGTGGGCGCAGTCCCGAACATTTGTATTTATTTTTTAGCATGTAATAATAAAAAAATTTTCTTGGCAAATTTCAGCGACGGCCCGTCGCCCAAAAACATGTGATATATTTTTTATTTTGAATGCTTATATACAGTGTATTAGTTTTATATAGATCATGTCGTCCGAGCTTGAAGTATTGAAACAGCGTATCATTGAACTTGAGGCAGAGAATGCCGAGATTCCTGAACTTAGAAAGAAACTTGCCGAGATTCCTGAACTTAGAAAGAAGCTTGCTGAGGTTGAAGCCAGGAATGTCGAGATTGAGGCCAGAAATGCGGAGCTTATGAAGCAGATGATAGAAGAGAATAACCGACGTGATGCTAGAATTGATAAATTGGAAGAAAAACAGTTGCAAAATGATAATACTCCTAATAATATCTTATCTAACTTCAATTCGGGTGTGGTCCATCATGAAAAACCGTTAGAGGAGAAAGAGATGGATAATTTCTTGCTTGAGGCTCATAAGAAAATCGTTAGTAGTGAAATAAAGCAACGCAATAAGGAAAAGAAGCTTCTTACTGAAAGCATGACATCTTCGGAACAAGAGGTTGCGAAGCAATCAGGCCAAAATAGTCATAAGAAAAAGGGTACTGAGAAAATTGTTCAGGTGATAACTGATGGTATGATGGCAGAGCCATCCATTCAGGATAATATAAAGCATCAAGAGTCGAATTCCTCCAATTCAAAAGCATTGCATATGACTGAAATTTCAGCGACGGCCCGTCGCCCAAATTGTTCTTCATCTCTGCTCGATTTAGCGAAGCTATTTGATAAAGCAACAGATGCCGAATATCGCACTAAAAAAGCCAACGAGGAAGAAATCTTATGCTGGGTTAACTTTGGGAAAGAATTCATGGTTCACTTTAGTGAACTCGTGGAAAATAGCAATGGTAAAATTGGAGAGAAAAAAGCAAAAGGTATAATTTATGATGAGATGTTAGAACACCTTGTCACCATTCGTGAGAAGAGATCAAAAGAAATGGGTATACAGCTTCCAAAAATCTCCCGTAGTTCTCTAACTAGAAGGACTCAAAGGTCTATGAAGCTTGTTAGAATAATCGAGAAAATAGGTATAGATAAATTTAAGTATCTTAGTGAATATAGTCCCAATTCCATTTCAGAGTTGACTAACGATCAAATTCAAGAGATCATAGAGGCCTCAGAGAGGCGGGATAATTCTGCAGAGCAGGATGATTTTCCAACTCCTGAAATTTCAGCCGGAAATCTTGAGACTAGCGAAAAAATCTTGCCTGAAGAAAATACATCCTTATCAGCCGATTTGAAGGATTATATAAAAACGCTCACGGGGGCTTTTGTCGATGAGACCGCTTATTGGGGTACACCATACGAGAATGAAGCTAGGGTAGCGGAAGAAATGAATGAAGAGGTTGCTTCACAATCAAGGGAAGAAACAGACGAAAGTAGGTCAGACAATGACTCCGATTCTAATGATTCTGAAGAAGAGATGCCGGACGATTCGGATGATGATGGATATAGTGGATATGGTGGATATAATGAATATGGTGAACGTGATAGAGGTTATTATTATCGTGATGGAGGTTATGAAAGGAAAACCTCACCAATGATGAGTCCTATTATCTCACCGGTAACCGCCTAGAAGAATTATTGGGCGAATCAATTACTCACTTAGACTGAATTAAGCGAAATCGTATATTTCTTTTTTTTTGATCACGTGGGTGGCTTAGATAGCATGCAAACGTCATCTATATTTCTTTTGGCGCCCCGCAGTAAGACGTCACTGGTCCATGTAAATCCGCAGAATATAATAGGCGCAGTAGTAGGTCCCGGCGTCATTTTTGCCGAAGGCGAGGATCTATTAATAAACCCAATATTTTTGTTGTTATAGTGATGAACTTTCCCCAAAGTTCTGGTATGTTCTATCTCGCTCATTACGCAGTTCTGAATTACTAATAAAAAAAACACATCCCTGATTTTCATGCGGATCGTAAGACAGGGCGTTGTTAAGAAGAAAATCAAAAATGGAAATCGAGCCGATTAGAATCTATGATTTACAGATTCTCAGATAAACGGTAAATTTTATTATCCTATTTGTGTTAGCGCATTTAAATTACGTGTATAGTCTAATCGTATATTAATCCGTTTTTGAATAGGAATTAGCAGTACGTAATCCAGCATGTGTGATTTATCATCTACTGTTTTTACAGATCTCGATCCATGATAGGTTCTTTATTCCGATTTTTTTTGCAATAGGGGGTATATCAGCCAATCTAGATAATAAACGGTAGATATACCATTACTCCGTTTACAACATATCAGTTTAGCATGTTCATCGGATTTTACTTTTAGCGCAATTTTTTCACCTGAAAAGAAGGGGTCATATTAAATAAGCAGTATATTTTATTAGATAAGCTGTGCATATTTGCAAATCGTGGGGTACAAGGAGTGTAAAATTTACGCCAATGCTTCCGACGATTTTATTGGCAAAATAGTCAACTGAAAATTTTCATAAATACCCTGCCTATTTCCTCCCAACAGACTTTATGTTTTTGATCTGCATTTACCTACGATAATGAAGGTTTTTTATACTAAACTGCGCCACGAACGAAAGAAGAACTCCAATCTTCCTATATAATCGAAGCGAGAAAAAATCTAGTTGGATATTTAGTTCTTCCTTTGATCTTTCTTTAGTCAAAAATGAAATAAGAGAATAGGACTTTACAATATAGCTTATTCACATTCTGTATATACATAATAGCAAAGCTACCTAATGAATATTTGTTATATTTTTATTAATAAAAAACTTTACTCTTGCGTAAGGCCTCACGGCCAAGCATTTACGAAAAAATATTATTATTATTTCATTGCTTGAATATGTTGTGGGGATTAGGGGGGGTATGGGGATACGGGAATGCACTAACTTTTTTCGTCTTTAAGTACAGGCGCCGGACAGGATCTTGATAATTTTCTTTTTCAGAAATAGGGGTAAAAATTATGACAACATTTCACGATTATTCCAGATCCATATTTCGATGCGGGTTCTCTATGCTAGTATATATGGGCATTTAATTTTGCCAGGCGATTGTAAAACATTATAAAAGGATATTTCTAGAGAAGCGCTTTGGTATTTCTTTTCCTCCAACAAGTAAAAAATATCAATTTCACATAAAACTAATAAAGCAAAATCTATCTATCTATCTATCTATCTAAAAAATGTTCTCAAACTCAGATATTTTCTTGATCGCAGTCTTCGGCATCACAATTGTATTTTACGAGATGTTGAGCCGTGGTGTCCTAACTATGGAAATGATCCAGGATATTTTTTCGGGAAATATAAGCATTTATTTAATCTTTGCCATTACTATCTTCTTTTTTCGCAAATATCTAATGGGATCGCGAGATAATAATCTTGAAAGAACCGTCTTAACATTAAGTAATGAGCTTCAAAGAATGCGTACAGAAGCTGAATGGAGAAATGATACAGCATCTCAAGGTAGGTCGTCAATTAGAAAAAATATAACGTCATGCATATATACTTATCTGCGCCCTACTGCGCTTTCTTCTAGCAGGATCAAATCGATTCTCTTCCACAAGTCACGTTTCCATGGGACAATATTCCGAATATACGGATGAATATGAAACATACTGGGTCGAATTTACGGCCCTTTTTAATAATAGGAGGAAAAGAGAAGGTCGTTCTCCAACGCAATTGTACAATATTTTATCAATCGAAATCGGTCTTAGCGCTAGCACATTAGCTAGTTTTTATCGACATCAAAAATCACCAAGAAGAACTTCTATAGATAAAATCATCGAATGGGTTGAAAAGGAGGGAAATAAGAAATCAGTTAGTTTTTCTGATAGTAGCAGTAGTAACAACAGTAGCAGTAGCGGTAGTGTTAGAGGAAGTATCGGTGGAGGTAATATTGCGAAATAACTTGATGCTGGGACTCTCATTTATGGCTTAGGATCCGAGAACTCCCTCCCTCTTTGATAGCATCATTTATTTCAATCATTACTTTCTTCTGGTCTTTCGATCTATTATTCTACTTTTTTTTTATTCATTTTTTACTTAACGGATCGGCCATATTACATACTAACGAAAAAATACAAAATTTACTAAACTAACATAGCTATTTACAGATATGAAAATCCCGCTTTAATATAGAATAGCAAAGTAAAATAAATGATCTTCTTTGTTATTAAGAAATCACTCTTGGTAGTCCGGCTCAATGTAATTAATAAAAACATTAATAGTTTCAGCGCTTTGAGAGAATGAGGGCGTCACGGGTCTCGAACCAGAAGAAGGTGTTGTTGGACGCGATGTATTAGAAGGAATTGCTCGAGGAATTTTTGAAGCAGTTCCGGTTCTTGAAGCAATACTGGATCCCAAGGCAGATGATGACATTGATCTGGGGATTCTTGACGGTTGTAATCTATTCGGTGTATTAGATGATGATGATGGATTTCTTAAGTTACGTTGTGATCCTAGAAACAGTAAATATTTTAGGGGGAATATCCTGGATTTACCAAAGTAAATACGAATATCAGAAAAACAAATACCAGGTTCTTTCCAAAATTCCGTGGAGAACTCTTCGTAATAATGTTCTCCTATAAGACTTCTCTTCTTCTTTTTAGTTACTACAGTAGTTGGTGGACCCTCCACCCCAGATCCCTCATTAGTTGATAGTAAGAGACTCTCAGCTTCCGCCTTAGCTTTCTTATAGGCCACGGTCGTCTATATTTACCAAAAATATCAGATTAGAGTCGGGATAAGTATAAGCATAGTGTCTCCAACTGCTCGATTATAATGTTACTTACATAGTATGCCCGAGTTAGAGCTAAGAATTTCTTATTACAATCTTCCCCGGTGAAGTAGTTAGTATTATTTACTCGGTTGATTTCATTCGCAATATCTTCCCAAAAGTTTCTCTTATTACGAATAGAGGTTCGGTGGTATTCTTCATTCCCATTTTTACGTTCATCAATAAGCATTCGGGTTTGTTCTTCGCTCCACTGTGCAGACATTATTACGTTCAAGAAAAGCTTTATGGAAAGCAAAGAAGAAGTGAGGTAATAGGGTAAACCAGCTTCCTGCTTTTATGTATCATGATCTATGAGCTGGTCCCTTTCGTGTACAGTCAGCGCTTTAATTTTCGTAATGATTAATATAATGATTTATTAAAAAAATAAGGGTGGCTTAGTTACATGAATTCGAAGATCTGATTAGCCGATCATCCCGTGATTTGAGTTGCGGGAAGGTTGCGAGGAAGTGCCGGGAACTGTCTGGGAGCCAGGTGATACGCTGGATACAATATACGTCATACTACAAAGTACATAATAAAGGAGCGATCACATATTCTCCATGCATAAAACGTTTCATGTCCATATGCAAATAGCCTGTCACGCATCCACCAGAAATCTATATAAACTACGGCTTCCATGTAAAAAATTGAATTATAGCTCATACCTAATAAATGAAATGGTACGAAAATTAATATTACGTGGTCTTCCAGAGGCAGATTTTACTGTATATTTAGCTCCGGAGGATCAATCAGGCTGTTATTACCGTTATACAGAATTGGCACTAGGACATTTCATAGATAAGCTCCCACAATCGCGTTATATACGAGTTTCAGATAAATATGTTGCCATATGCCATCTTTGCAATGAAACTGATAGAAACTGGATAAGTTTGATTGATCAAGCAACATACCAAACTTTGCGGACATCGGATATGGTAATCATGTAAGGATGGTCAGTCGGTCTTTCGGTCCTGGACGGTCCTGCCCGGTCTTTGGGAAAGTTATAAGGAATGCACCCTTGAATTTTTAAGGCGCAGCAAGTATGGCTAAAGACCAATAAATGTCAAAATTTGGCCTTTATACTTCTTTTTTTAAGACCAGCAGAGGCGAAATTGGAAAAAGACCGAAAAAAGCAAAAAATACTGGTTTTGGCAAAATAAAAACCTGCCTAGCTCTAAATTGGGTGATTAGATTGAGACCAAAATTTACCACTTTTTGGTCTTTAATCAGTTCTGTTGTGCTACAAAAAATTGGAAGCACAGCCTTATTACTTTTCCAAAAATTTCCTAAAGACCGATCAGGACCGATCAAAGACCGCAGGACCGACTGACCATCTCTATAATCATGTCTAGTGATGGAACAGATATACCTATCAATCTCCATGAGGATTTACATAAAATAATACGGGAATGGTATTACAATGAATACGAATCCCCTTCAGCATTAATTAGGCGATGTTTGAGAAATAATTAGGTCTATTTATGTATTGAGTTTTTTTTTTCTATAGCACAGAAAAAATGTATTTGGGTTTAACAGTGTGTAGTCTCTCAAATCGGCTACAAATCATCTAATCGCTAATCAGTAAATCTGTATAAATTTGAATGATGATATTATCTAGTTATAAGTTGCTAAATAATTGCTAGAATTTGCTAAAAACGCTATAAATCACTAAAAATCAATATACAGTAATCTACTAAAACACTATTATGGATTTAGATAGTAAAACATATTCTAAGCTAATTGATGCAAACAATACTTATGGAGGCTCTGCAGAATATATAAGAATACTTGATGCGTTATTGCCTTTAACAAAAAGACATGATTACGAAACACCAGAAATGTGGTGTTCTCGTATCCGTGATCCATTTAAGAAAATACTTGAAGAGAATCCAAGAATCCTTTCTAAGAATGGATATATTATAATGTATGGAAAGATGTATGAAAATGATAAAGTTTACAGACAACATCCAACCGATTATATATATTGTAGTGTATGTGACTCCTTAGTTTTCATACCTAGAGGGTATGTATTTAATCGTCGCAATCAAGATAACCACTTGAAGAGATGTATTTCTGGAAATACTATTTCGAATGAACATGCAAGAAGAAATGAAATTCTCAAATCTATTGATGCAAGGGAATTTCAGATCTGGCAATATAAACAATATATATTACAAGAAGAGGCTAAAATTAATCGTCTTCGCCTAGAGCTTTTCTCCCAATCTACTTCACATTCAGAAAAGGATAAGTTGGCATTGGTATCATATGATTATGATAGTGATTCAATTACCTATGAAACATACAAGCAGATTAAAATGACTATGGCAGAAAATACTATGCCAAGTGCTGAGCCAGCTTGTATTTCGCCTGCCAGGCAAGAAATAGTTTCACCTAATTCTTATCAATCATCAAATTATAAAAGTGATACAGGCGAATTATTTATCTCATCTCAGTATGTAAAACAGCCAAAAGGCACTATGTTGAGATTGAGGGATGGGAGAGTACTCACGGTTGTCTAACTGGCTTGACTGATTTGGGCAATCTTAGTGAAGCATATTTCGATTCTGTGCGAAAAAATGCAGGAAGAAAATAGACTTAGCCATTAAGGCGCTTTGCAATATCTTTCAACCGAATATTAACATTATGTATCTCTCGACTATGTTGAGGCCAAACATTTATTATACTTTATTTTTTTGCGAAATGAATTCTGCATACATGATCGCCTAGTATAATAGTGAAATGTATCACCTGCATAAATTTATGCGGGATAAAAATATGCTATGCATGATCTGCCTATTCTAGGTTAGATCTTCTAATATATAACTATTTATCATGAAACGCTCTTGGGGATTCTTGATTGCGAGACAATATAACTATCAGTTTGAGAATTTCTATGCAACAGTTATCCAGCAAGCTTACAGGAATTACAAGAAGAGACCTGAATCTTTGGCAAAAAAAGTTTGGGAGATAGTAAGGAATGATGCTACTCCTAACGATAAGAAGTTTTTAGGTATGAAAAATGAATGGGGATATCATCCTTCAGGACAAATTTGGTATGATGATTATTGCTTTTCAGTGAAAAATGATTGGATATACGAGAAGAGAGTCCAATTATGGTATCGATTAGGTTTTGTAACATTAATACTTGTTAATAAATTATTATATCAGCAAGGCTATATAGTTGTTAGAGGTACATATTGGCCTGACATGTTAAAATGGCCACGGAATCCCAAATATTATAGTATTCATAAAAAATATAATTATGAATACTTCATCAGAATTTCGGATTGTGAGAAATATAGGAGTAAATCGGTAGAAATACAAAACATATGTGATTCATCAACGTTAAGAACATATTATCTTCTAGGAAAGTATTTTACTGTAAATTTCTCGGATTTAGATATAATTGTGAGTTTGTGCGCCGAATTTTCCAGATCAGTCCTTGACCCAGATTCCGAATATTATCAATAAAATAATATATTGTCCAGCCATGCGAAGCGCCTCAAGGCCAATGCATGTTGGCATGTGCGACATAATTTAGCACGTTTTGTTAAAGTGTATATGATGTAATGGGTGATACACCGCAAATCATCTGTAACTCTGTGTGACTGCTTGTGCGACAAATTAATTTTCACACATAAGAAATCGACCCCAAGAATATTTCGAATTTTTCCCTATCTATCTGAATAGCATTTATTTATGAGTTTATTTTCTTCGATGCTAGAGGCTATTTCTACTAGATTTCGATCGGAGTATATTTATATAATGTTACTAGGGGCTTTATTACTGAGCGGTCGGGCGAGCGAAAAAAAAGTTCGTATATGCATTATCCCCAACGCCTTTGAAAATGTCAAGATCTTCAATGCACATTCCACATGCCCTTATTCTCGAACACAAAATTTTGGCGTAAAGGTTTGTTGCATATTCTCCCGCTTCGACCCCAACATAAACTCGGGCTCAGAGAAGACGTGAATGGGGAAATTGCAAACCATTTAAAAGGAGAGTATATGAAATTTGAAATTATAGTTGCTTATTTTTTACCAGGCATATACTAACAAAAACTCTTATATCTTAAATTAGTAAATTATGTCTAGCTCATCAGCCGAAATTTTCGCTCCATTATACAACTTTTTAAAAACCTCTTCCTTGGATAAAATAACCACTTCTAGCGTAATTACCCAACAATGGAATTGTTTCAAAATCCAATCGGAAAACGAAGATTTCGATTGTCTTATGAAAATATTAAAGGATATGGAAAATGAGATCAATGATGATAAGCGTAAACAGCATCTTAAATCGTTGCAGAATATTAACCAAGTAATTTACATTATTTTTGTTCTTCACACAATAGGAATAACATGATGAATATGTTGTCTAGACAAAAATAAGTGTAGTGCGATTGAAAAAGCGACATATTGTCAGCGAGAATCTCTTTCATTATACTTACGATGATTTTTAAGGACAATAATGCCGGCTAATTCTGATTAGGATGGGATTTTGCGCAAAAATAAAATAATGATGTCTTCCTGAATTTATTAACCCATCTATTTATTTTTAGATGCGATTCGTTAGAAACGAGCTAATTTCATTAAAAGATATGGGGTTCTTACGAGGAAAATTCGAAGAAGAAGTAAATTGGAAAACTTTAGCCTTAAATAATATAACGCTTTTGAAAGATAAAATTAAGGTAATCAATCTATGTATTTCTTGTCTCAGAAATTTCGATCCCATGTTATTTTTTGAACTTTTCTCATAAAATAAATATTTTCGATTGGATTAGAAAAAAGATACACCAGCGCACAAACATATTCTTACGACAATAAGTAATATTGATATTAATAAAATATCAAACGATGATCCGTTGTGTATTGGAGTAATAGACCTTAGTTCAGAAAAATATAATATACCAGAAAGTAATTACGAATCCCTTGTTGTATGTATACCTTTATTTTTTTCCTTGATGAATTAGCTACTAAATTACATTTCATGTATTAATTACTTCTTATATTTATAGGGAGAGAAGGCTAATATAAGAAACTTAAGCAAAGATGCGGGAGTAAAGAAAATATGTAACGAATTTATATCAAAGAGAAATGAAGTTCATAAATTACGAAAATTTGTGTTGCCTTCGAGAGACATTGTAACGCATGATCAATGGATTGAAGATGATCATATCAAGGAACGTATAGCTGGTGGGATTACTGATATTCTTTTACAGGAGATTAAGTTGAACGCACTTCAAAGAGTTTCTGGAGGATCTGAAAATACGTTAGTAGAAATCATTGCTCGCTTAATAGACATGGCTATGTATCATTTACCTGTAGACTACGAGGTTGAAGTTACTAGGGCTGAGCGTCAAAGTAAAGCCAGCAAAAACCGCAAAGTTCAGCAAAAAACTGGATCAAGAGGAGATAAACCTGATCTCATGTTCCGTGCTTATCTTCGTCAAAAGTGGGAGGAAATCGTTTTCTTTGAAAGTGGAAAATGGGATACCGATGAGGATAAAATCTGCCATGACCATAATAAATTAGTTCAACTCTGTTTGGATGGCACTAAAGAACTTGTAAAGAAATGCACGAAAGAAACATTCTATCGAAATTATATAGGATTCGGGATTAATATTGCAGGTAAGTATCTGGAGATCCATGGTTTAATAATGGAAAAAGAGGTAAAATACCACCTTCCAGTCATTAAAGCAAAAATACCCCTTGATAAAGAGTCAGTTGAGGAAATCGAAGAGTTCGTTCATGCTCTATTAGTTTTGCGAGTAAGTGTTTTCCTTATTTCTAAATAAATACTTAGTTATATAATGATACTTATACAAAAATCTCTAATTCCAGAATGGGGTTATCGTAAATTTACAGAGTATTGTAAATAGTTTTCAAAAAAGATCAAGGAAGACGAGTGATATAAGTCCTCCTCCACGTGAAGCTGGAAGATTAAGCAAGAAAAATAGTGCGAATTTCTAAAAACATTTCTTTAGATTAGCTATGCTAACATAACATATTTGTATTTTATTTTTCCTATATCAATAAAGTGCCCTGGTGGCCGATTATTTTTACATATTCTCTGTATTTTTTCGTGTGGGATATGCACCAGATAATAAAAAATTTCTTGGCAAATTTCACTTACGGGCCGTGAGGGAAAATCACATGATTTTTTATTTTTGAATATTAACATACTAATACTACATTACGCAAGCATGTAATCTGAAATAAATTATCCCAGTGAGATCGATTCATTAAAACAATACATTGGCGAGCTTGAGGCCGAGTACAATAAAATTAAGGCCGAAAATGCTGAGCTTAAGGCTAGAGTTGCGAAATTGGAAGATAAGCGCTTTTTTCTCATAAATTCGAAAAAATGTTAGTCAGGCACTTCACAAAGCATATCCTATCATGAGATCTATCACCCAAAAATCTATGATTTGAGGGGTGAACGAATTAATAAAAAATTTGCTATCTGTATCTCGAAAGACATGATCATGTATTAATTTCAGCGACGGCCTGTCGCCCAAAATGATTTTTTTCTTGTTGACCAATGATCGGATGTCATGTGGATTTTTGATCGTGTCACGGTTTTCAAGCAGATCTCTCGCGACATTGACGCGTATGACTATATCCTGGTAGACTTCGTCTATGTGGGTGCAGAATGCTCTAAATTCACCGAATGCTCAGAATTCTTAGAATTTCTAAATACGTAAAATTCTTGAATTTTCAAAATTTTTTTATTATCTATAAGAAATGACTAATATGCTAAACCCATCTTTTCATGTATATTACTCAAAGCAACTTAACCAGCTTCCTCGTTCCATCAAGATAGATATATGGCGCCGTCTTATATCCCGAAAACACCCATTATCGTTAGAACAGGCAAGTAGTATCCATCCCGAAGTGGAAGATTTGTTAAATAAGGCGGTTGGAAATTATATTAAGCAAAAAGAGCGTCAGAAGATGAAGCCTATTACCAGCGACTGTGAAACTTCGTTAAGGCAAGAAAATGAGGAGTTGTGTATATCAAAACGGGCATTGGAAAAAAAGATTGAAGAGCTTCTCGACTTGCAAGAGCAATATAAGTCTCGTGAGGTAGCCATGACCAGGTCTTTGGAGGAGAGTGGTGGGAAAGTCACCCAATTATCAGATTCGGTAGCTATCTTCAAAAGTATAATTCCTGATACGAAAAAAGCTATTGCGTCTGCCGAAAAATCCATTGACCTGTTAGAGAATAGATGCCGGAATCTGGAGGATATTATTTCCGCTAAGGACGGGAAAATTGTCGCTCTTGTTGATCAGATCCTTTCCAATACGAAGCATAGTGATGTGACTATAGAACCGGAAATATATTCTAGTACTCATGAAAGGAAATTATGGGCGAAGAGGCGTGATGAATCTGAATATGATCTAGAAACCAGGAAAAAATATACATTTCGTCCTTAGTACCTAAGAAAATTCTACTCATTAGTGAGAGGTACATCCCAGCCAATACGTATCCTATGTGGATGCTCTCGAGGTACAGTTAGATCGAAAACAATGAATTCTTTCTCACATAATGCCTTATCAATAATCTTAATTATACTGCGCCAGTCATTAGCATATTGACTCATGATTCTGCTAAGCTCGTCCTTAGTGCAGGAGCCGTTAAATAGGCAGATGTGTGAGAGATTTTTTCGTATTATCTTCGGGCAATCAAAGTAACTCTGGGATACATATATCGAACTGACATTGTAATGTCGCCCTTCAATGAAATAAGGAATAATTTTCTTCTGCACTTCCTTTGGATCAGCGCATAGATCTTCGAATATAGCTAACGTAGCCCTGTCCGGAGAAAATGAATCTATCTTGGGAATTTTATCAGGCTTCAAAGCTCGAAATGAAATATTTTCACGGTATGGCTTTGGATTATTAGCAATTGTCTGATACACTGTTTTAAGGATCATATATTTTTTCTCATTAAGATTGTGACCGATGAGTAGCAAATCATCATACTTGATATAACGTGTCCCTCTTTTCTTTCCTTTAGACATTCGATAAGGCTTAGTTCCGAGCGTGAGATTAATAACCTCATTAGTTTTTCCCGTATTAGTACGGCCAAAGATTCCAAGGGTGAAAGGCCATTGGGGAACACTTAAGTGTCCATTATATTTTTTGGCATCTTTAATCTCATCGATATGGTATACAAACCTTTCAACTGGCTCAAGTTTCTTTATTTTCATGTCGAACTATTACTAATGTTATTCTAAAAATAATCTTGCAAATTACCAAGAAGATAATTCTCTCCGACCTAACTTGAAGAATTACTCAAGAATCCTTTCTCGATTAGTGTATGCTTAATGTATGGAAAAAGATCCGCAGTATAAGGCACTTCGATAAGACATATACCTTGCTCCTTGCAAGTATCCTGCTTCTTCTGATCGCGTATTCTCTGTTCATCCAAATCTATCTGGCCTCTTCTATGAAACATTGAATTAAGACTATAGTGTTGCTTGCCATGAAATTCGAATCCTAGTTGCAACTCTTCGTTATATCCATCAAGTTGCATTCCATGCAAAAAATTCGGCCTACATGATGGAAATTTCTTGCCTAGTAGATCCTCAAAAATATATCGGCATTGGCGTTCACCGCTTCTATGATGGCAAAGAGGACACCATTCGAATTTTTTCATAATATATTTTAGTGGATACTCCCACTGGTGTGCACCATTCTTGCAAGACCAAAGATACACATCATGACCATTTATTTGCCCGGTCTTTCTAAGGCATTGCCCATCACGCTTCATGGCATAATCCACGGCCTGAACTGACTTACTACTGGAAGCATTAACATAATGGATGAATCCAGTAAGGTGGTATTTTTGCATAAATTCATCTGGTGGATACTCGATTTTATCAGATTCTTCAATCACTTGAAGTTCCTCATATTTGAAGGGTCACTTGGGGTTCCGTCCTATCAAGTGAGCAGTGGATTCAATGGGCTCATTCTCGAGATAATATAAGACTGGTTGTGGTGGATTCCTTCCGACAACAACTCTTTTGATCTTGTATACACGTAATGACCAGTACGGATCAGTTGCTCGATGCCTGTGATCACCTTCCAGCTCACCCGGTTTCAATAGATATCTAACCGCTGTACCCTTTTTTAACTTTATCTCTTCGTGTCTCCTAATTGCCCGTTTAGCTTTACTAGAAGGTTTCGATTCGACCTCTTCCAAAGTCATAGCATGAGCTGGTGACATTCCGATAAGGCGAGTCTTGCTATTGTTCATAAAATCAATGTATTTCTCAAGAATTTTATTCCATAGTCTTGATCGTTCTCCTTCGGCCAATCGCCCCTCTATAGCATATTGGACCTTATATATTAATTTTGCTAGATTTTTCTTGAATGCTTTGATCAAAGCCAGGCTCTCGAAACTATAAAGGTCGACAACACGTATTGGAACATTATGCTGTTCCATCCCTCGTAAAAATGCACCTCGGAACGAAGCATCACCATCAGTCATCAATAATCCTGGCCATGTAAGAGGATTAGAGGGGTCCTCATATATTTCTTCGACCGCATTCCAGATTTTCAAACTATTTCTTGATGTTAATGAACGTCCAGCCTTAAAACGTGTTGCCACATCTATGACTAGAAAACTACAAACGAATACCCTTCTTCCATCCTGGTCATCATGAGTATGGAGCAAAATATCACACTGGTGCACCTTATTTGGAATTTTGATTTTTGAGAAACTCGCCTCAGCTTTGCATGGCAATGGCTGTTGATAGATTTGGTAGCTATATTGGTATTTTACCCATTTTGCGATATCCTGTAATCGAAAAGAATATCCTTCCTCCTGACATGCTTTATGTAATTTTTTTGCATTGGGATGAAAACCGGGTATATTATAAAATAGAAGTCTACAGACTATACGGAGCTCTTCATCGGGATCTATCACAATTTGCGGTTGACTCATTCTCAAAGTAGGATTATTATGATAGTACTATAAATCAGGGCTGAATAATACCATGTTTGATCTGACATATTCACAGCTTTTAGATACGAATCAAGAGCTTCGTGGTGAGCTTCAAGATGAGATTTTCATTAATAAGAGCAATGAGAAAAAAATTCGATCTCTGGTAAAAGAGCTTGAGCAATGTTATCGAACTATCTCAATACAGGATAATACTATCATAGCACATGAGAAAGAGATAGAGAAACTTAAATCAGAAATATCCGATTTGCGAAAACAGCTTAGGGTTTTACAACAGGATAAGAAATTCAAAGATGAGGTTAGGTCTATTCAAGATGGACGAATCATAGAGCTTGAAAATAAGGTTGGGAGTCTTAAAGCAAGAATCCGGATTCTCATAGATAAAAAAATCTCAATAAATGCTTTAGATATGGCAACGACCAATCTTATCGCAAATGTTAATAGAGGGTTAGATCGAATTGAAAATCACATTAGGGGAGTTGGTACTCCTATGCAGAATCCTGCTAATGTTATAGATGGTATCAGAGGCTCATTAAATACTATTCGGGTTACTTTGCAAAATATTACAGCCGAGCGTGATCAGTATCAGAACATATTAAATGATACAAATAACCGGGAACGGGATCTTGGGAATCAGTTAAGAGATATTAGAAACTAGAATTTACGATTTCAACGTTTATTAGATGAATCCCGAGTTCGAGTTGAAAGAACTGTGAGAGAAAGGGACAATGCTCAAGGAGAGCGGGACTTGGCTATGTTGGCCTATAATAATGAGAGGCAAGAATCCTGTCGCTGGATGTTTTCATATCAGGATAAAGATAGACGTATTCAGGAACTATTACGAGAAAAATTTGCTAAACAGCTATTGTATCAGCGAAATACTAACCGTCTTCAGCAAAATACCCGACAGTTGCAGACCAATGCCCAAAACCAGGTAAATAGGATGTTAGTTATTATAGCAAGAAAACAAACCCGCATTGGTAAATTGCTACGTGAAAAGTTTGTTTTCCAACTAGTGATTAGGCAAAGAGACCAGAATATTTTAAATTTGCAGGGACAAATTTTGGCGCTTCAGAATAATCCATTAGGAAATATGGCTGACGCTAGACGTTTACCAGTATTAAATTTGATTGCACCTATTCTTGCTAAAAATAAGCCGTATACAGGCCAAGAACCTCCTGACGATTATTTGGATAGGCTTATTCAATCAATATCATTCGCGCAAGGACATATGACTGTTCTTGAAAATGCAAATGCCGGAGATTTTGATGATGCTGTCAAGTGTGATATTTATAAAGCTCAGATGGGAGGAAAATATTTACCAGTTCCTGCCCAAGACCCATATAACGGAAATGCTAATATTAATACTCCAGCTACTTTACGCGCTTGGATGAGATCACATTATCAACGAGAAACAGTAGGTAGTCGGCAGTCGGCACTTCAAAGATTAACTCAAGAAAAATTTCTACCCACAGACTCACCAGATACTTATGAAAAAAGAATCCGACCTTTATTATTAGGTGTAGCAGATGGTGATGCCCAAACTGTAGGATTTCTTAAGAATCACTTGTCGGGTGATCTTTATACATGGATGCGAGCTGTCACTCCTGCCGGTATTAATGCATTTTTTACAAATCTAAAAGACATGTGGCTGGAGCGTGCTCCCAATTTAAATGGGGTCAAAATTATCAGAGTAATTCTTCAGCTGAGATTGATAAGTTAAATTCCAAAATAGCCTCCCTTGAAGCACAGTTAGTTCAACCGATTCAGGCACAACCCCAAAATAATGATGCCTTAGAAAAGATGTATATACGCGCAGTGCGGTTGGGAATGCCAGTTGATGCACCAAAAGATCTTACATCCTTAGATAATTATATTAATGACGAATTAATAAGGAGATTGGGTGTTAATAATACCAATTACACCAAGCTTTCCAAAAAATACTCTCAAATGGTTAATGTGGTCAAAAAGTTAGCCAAGCATAAATGCTCTAATTGTGGTAAAACTGGTCACAATTCTCGTAAGTGTCCCAGAAAAAAGAAGAGTAAGTCTAAAAAAGGTAAAGTAAATCTTGCCACTTTAGATTCAGATTCGGGTTCGGACACTAACTCTGATATGTTGTCTGATGACTCTTCTGATTCTGGTTCGAGTTCTTCATCCGAATCTGAGTCCGAAGCTGATATTAATATTAATATTACTAAGGCAAAAAAAAAGTGAAGAAAGAATCGAGTAATCCTTCCTCTTCACTAAAAAAGAAATCAAAGAGTCGCCTTACGGCTAAGTCTCAAGAGGTAACAGATATAGAGACAGCTTTTTTCTCTAAAAAGAAAAAGCGAAGTTCAGAATCCCTGTCACAGGATAATCAATCCCGCTTGGAAAATATTATTGAGAAAATTATTGAGAAGGTGCTTAATGAAAAGTTTGGCGACATCATAGCCTTTTTTCAATCGCAGAATTCTGCTTCCAGAATACTGATTGATGGTAAAGATGACTCCACTTCGGATACTCCTGAAACTCCAGACTCAGGTGGGGAAGACGAAATTCTAAATGAGCCTATGGAAATCGATTTCGTTCAGAAAAAAGATCCCGCCACAGATGTTGTTACTACTAAGTGCAAAATCAAGCATCTAGTCATTCCGGGTGCCATAGTTGATCCTGGTGCTAATTTTCTGATTATGACAGATGATATCTCTAAACGATCAAAGCTAGAAATTGATACAAAAGAAAAACATGATCTCAGAGGCATTGCTACTACTCCCACAGAATCCCTTGGAATTGTCAGAAATGTCCCAGTAAATTTCGCTCCCGGATGTACTATATATGCTGATTTTGCTGTAGTCAAATACCCTAAGCCGATGCTAATCTTACCCAACACGCTTCTTGATAAATATAATTATGATTTACTTGCATCAAAGCGGGAATTGAGACTAGAGTGTAATGGTAAGGAATTTTTTATCCCAATTAATATGCATAAGGTCAAGAATAAGCTCGAGGTGAATTGTGCGACCACTACTTCCAAATGTGATGAATCCTCGACTCCGGACTGTATTTTGCAGGATTTAAGTGAGGATGATGATGTATTAAAAAAAAAGTGAGTTATAAGGAACTTGAAAAAATGCTATATAGCACTCTTAAATATAATGCAGAAATCAATGAGTATTGTGAAAGATTACAGGCGCGCTATGATGAACTTCTTGCCGAAGGCGCTTAAGGCAGAGAATAGGCGAGTTATTTTTCTAATATATTCTTCATATTTGCTATATTTTTTACGTTTCTTTCAACTATCTTCTCATGCGACGTGGGAATTGGTTGAGACTGGATAGGAGATGGTATTAGCGGTGGTATCCCATCCTTGGACTTCAATTTCTTCCCTCCGGCCTTTTTTGCCTTCCCACCTTCTTCCAAAACTGAATCAATAGATTTGCTAGGCTCTATCTTAGCATCACGTATTTGTTTTTCCAGTTCTGTAAATGGAGAAACGTCTTGGCCTTGGATCTTTGGCTCGATCTGCCCGTCCACAACATTTATATTAGAAAGCGAAGCAGTCCCTCCAGGACCAGCTGTTGACATATGAATTGGTTGATTCCACGCAACCCTATTTTTTTCTTCACCTCTCCAGATCTGATAAATACGTTTTTGTGATGTGCGATATTTATTTGTTAAATCCTTTAAAACTTTATCTCTAGGCTTTTTTTCAGCACATTGCATAATATGATCATAATCGGCTGGTGAAAAAGGAGGGGACTCACATCTCATGCGTTGTCTGAGCATGGTAGCAATATTTTTTTATATCTAATATAATACTCCAAAATAATTTATTAAATAGGATATATAGAAAGTATGTATTATTCCGAAAATATGGGATATACAGGATATATAGGAAGATAATATTCTGGACGTATAAGATATACGGGATAAATAGGATATTTAGAAAGAATGTATTATTCTGAATAAACAGATTATGTCTATTATCTCAGAAATTTATTCGTGCATTTTTTTTCTAATATATAACCATGCTAATATTATGTCCAAAGTGCATACATTGAATGATATAAAAGATAGAGAAGGTGGTTCTTATAAAAAACCTGGTCATCGGCTGGGTAGTGCATATGAGCAAGAGCTCGAAAAAAAATTAAGATCCGTTACTGAATTTAACTCTGAGATTAATGATCTCAGTGAAAAACTGGTAGATAAGTACAATGAGCGAGAAAAGGAGTATCAGCGAAGCTATAGTGATATTGGGAATAAGATTGGCCAGTTAAATGCGTCTAGCGTTAAAGTTAGATCCCAACTTATTTCTGAACGAAAGTCTCATTCTGAGAGCCAACGTGAGCTTGAAGCCAAATATACTGCTGAAATCCAATCGCTCAAATCTTCTATTAAAACACTAAAAAGAGAGGCAACTTTGACCCAGAAAGCTTCGTCCGCTGACAAGATCAAGATTCTCTCTCTTGAAGTTAAAATACGTGAATTGGAAGGTAAGTTGGAGGACATAGATCTAGAGCGTACATATCATGGTTTGGATGTAATAGGAGGGATGATAGAGAATCTGGCCCAAATAAACGGTCCCTTTGGGACCAACCCATCTGACCCTGACCCCAAAGAGATCGATTCTCTCAGACTTGAATTAGAACAAGTAAAGGAAGATCGAAATTCAAAAAAATATGAAATAGAATGTATGGAAAAGGGGATAGAGGCGTCGAATAACATATACAAACGGGAGCTAGATATTCGGTCTTCAGAACGATTAAAAATGATGGAGGAAAATTCTCGTCTCCAAGAGATAATCTCAAAGAAAGATAATGAAATAGCAGATCTAAGGTTGCTTGCCGAAACCTAGAGGTTTAGGCAAGATGGCGTTTCGCCGAAAAGCGAAATTCTGCCGAAACTATATTAAAGTTATATTAAAAAACTGGTGAAACTTTGGAGAAAGGCGAAACTGCCGAAACTTATTATAAATGCCGAAACTGCTGAAACTCTGCCGAAACTATAATAAATCTATAGTAAAATTTTGACGAAACTAATCGTAGGATTTTGAAGAGGTTTAGACAAGCAACCTTAAGCAGATCTCTCTAATACTCCACCTCCGCCTATGAATGATTCATCGCAAAAGATTCCAGGTTGGGTCAGTGATGATCTAAGACCCCTCGTCTATAATCATGGTCTTGAAAATAAAGTTATGGAACTCGATAAAAGTTTTGCCAGAGAAAATATATTAGAGGCTTTGCAAGAGCTATTACCCCGGGATGAGATGGTTTCTCGAAACCAGGCAGTTACCCTATCTAATCAATCCGTTCATAGTCTACCAGCACATTCCGAAAATTTCATTTCGAGAAAAGGGATTGCGAAGCATTCAGGTGGCGCAGAAGTAGTACCATTGTCCCAAGAAATGCCTCTAGCATCAGTGACTGTTCCTGTCGTTATTAACTCTCTAATGTCGCCGATGGTATTATATTCCATACTTGCTTTTCTACTGATTGCGGTTATATGGTTTGTGGTCAGGAAATACTGGAATTCATCGAAAAAAAGTAATACTGACTATTCTCCTAACCGGAACTATTTTTATCCTCTCTGGGCATATCCGAGGTCGGGATGTATGATCGGAGGCCGGAAGATCGAAGATTGAAATTGAAGTTAGCCGGTATTATTGCACGAGAAAAAATATATAAATAATATTATAAGTTTTCTTAGCTGAAATTGCCATACCTCCGCTAGAATACTTAATAATATAATTTATTTAAGTGCTTTGCTTTACTGCCTCCGGCTCGGTCACATCCTCAAGATGGAAATACCATAAATTACTAATCTCATCTAGTACCCCAATTTCTGATATGTGAGGTAAGGAAGGTAGGTCAGCAATTATCTCATTTTTTCGCATGGATGCAACTGGTCTGATTTCTTCTGGAATTGACACATGCTCTTTGTAACGCATATGATAGACCAATTTGTGAAAGAATAAATTATACTCTTCAATACACTTTGCAAGCTCGCTAGGATATCGAGCAAAATCAGAGCATATTTTTTCCTTCATTTCGTCATCTACCGAGAGGTTTTTATCTTTTGAAATTTTCCTAGCGCATTTCATAAATTTCTCCCATAATACCTCGATAGGGTTACTTATCATGAAAATCTCGTAGCTAAGCCATTCGCCATGAAATATTTCGTATAAGTACCCTATCTTTTGATACAACATTTCTTGTGCCTTTTTGACCGCAGTTCTGTAAGCACGCTTATAAGCAATCCCACGAGATTCCATCATCTTGGAAGTAACACCATTGACTATGATATTTTCTTTTACGAATCCCTCAAGCCATGACTTGGCCTTGTTTTGAGCATAGTCATCAATTTGCTTATATTTCTCATCCGGGTCTTCGATTCGCATGATTCGACTTGAGGGTTCTGGCTCATACTTCTTATCATACATGATAAATCGGGCACAGAGGCCAATAATAGTTTTTTCGAAATAATGGTATAAATCTAATTCCTTCCCCAATTCCTTAGCTACATCGGCGAATTCCATTTTTTCGCCTTTAGTTGGTTTTAACTTTCTACCATGTAAATCGAAGGTAGTATCGGGATGGGTTACTACATAACTAAAGCGCTCACCTGGTATCGGAATTTTACTATCATACTTTCCTCTCATTCTTCCTATAAAACGCTGAACAGCTTTGTTATCTTTATCGGGTTTCCAAGCGTCAGTCTCTATAAATTGTTCAAAATTCCACTGCTCATGATTAATTATAGCATCCCTGAGAATGTCTTCAACAATCTCATGGAGTGATTTGACGTTATTAATATCCATAGCCCTTCGCATAATACGATCCCCTATAGTTTTGAAAACTTGGGATTTACCCTGCTTCACAGTATCTATTCCCCTTATAAAAGGCTCTCTTGGTTCGAAGTTGGGGGTCTCTTCATGGTCAATGCCAAAATATTTTTTCTTTCTGGTAAACGCTACTGGAAATAGTACTTCCTCGTAGGCCATTTTAAGATAATCCGATCTAGTCTTGAGCCTGAGGAAAGTGTTCACATCATTGCGCAATTTTTCTATTACACCCATAGTAGTCTTGACCATCTCGGTCCAATACTCTAGTTTAGAGATTTCTCCCTTCCCATCATTATAAGCCAGATCGTATTTCTCAAAATAGGAATCTGGACAAGTGAGATATAAGGAATCGGTATCACCGTATTTTATCCCAAAGCCTTTCTTTCTAACGTACTCTGTGACACGTTTGATAATTTCTTGCCCAGCCGAAGTAACACCTCCAGCAAGTTCGAGTATGTAGAATGGGGAGCCACTTCTACCCGTCACACCATAGAATGAATTCATATACAATTTAATGGCTTTCTGCTTAGAATTTAAAGATTCATAGGCAAAGCAGACAGAACTGTATTCTTTTATAAAATTATCATACGATAAATCAATAAAAGGATCTAAGATTTTAACCATCTCAGCACGCTTCTTCATATTCTTCGTCGAGGACAAAACATCTTTGAATGCGTCCGCTATTGAGATAGATCCGCTGGCATCCATTCTACTTTTGACCTTTCCCATATATTCCTTTTTCTTTCCAATGGGCTTTAGCTGGGCTTTTATTTCATTTCGCATTCTCCCCAATCTCTCCAATATCTTTGGGAAAAGACCTTTCTGATCAGGCTTATTCCCATGCCGTATAGTCCAGGCTCGTATAGGATTACCATTATACTTGAACTTGATATTGTGGAGCACTTTATTCTCTCTCCCTAACTCATCGGCCTCCAAAAGTGTTGAGACCATCTTCTCGGATGAGAGGTTATAAGTCATAATTATGCTAGGGTACAAGGAAGCGAAGTCCAAACCCGTGACCGGTCGCTTATTTTCAAGACCTTTCTCAGGTGGGAATACATATGCTCCCGGAAACTTCCCAGATGCTTTCTGATCAGAAGTTTTCATGCTGAATAGAATGTCCTCCGCCCACGCTTCAGCGCCCAAGAGATTACCTACTTTCATTCCTATGGCATAATAATGTGTGTCAAATAATGATATGTGGGCGATCGAGGCAACTTCTCTATAATCATTTATGACATTATTTTTAACCATGAGCTCCTGACAACGTAAAGCATCTATAACACAATAATTTACGATTTCATGCATATTTTTGACGGAAGAGTCGGAAGTCCCATTCCTTGCTTCCGAATAATACTCCCATAATTTGCTCATGGGCATATCAGCTTTGCCATCGAGACCACATTTTTCTAAGAAGAATTTAAGTGATGTTTTTTCAGAGTGAGGGTGGAGTTGCATAAAACTTGCACGAACATCAATCGGCACACACCCGGGAAGTTTAAGAAAGGAGGATTCGAAGTCTAAAGTTGGATGGATTTTGATATTAATGGAATCTCGGCCTAATATTTTTTTGGGACTCCTGTCCGTTTTCTTTACCCACTGGCTCTTTTGGAAGAAACCATTAGTTAGTGGCTTTCCAGTTCCACTGAAATAATTCCAAGTGAGAATAGATTGAGCATTAGCTTTCTTATGTGGGTTCGCAGAGATTTGCTGAATCATCCATCCGAGGACTTCTAACTTAGTGGCCTTCTCCACTATAAATGGCCAATCATAACCAGAGTCATTAAAACCGAGCTGGATGTCTGGAGCAAAAGATTTCCAGCATAAAGCGAAAGCTTTTAATAAATTGACTTAGTTCCCACATATGATGGTTGTCCAGCGCGGATTTGGTGCCGTCTCAACATCAACAAGGCATATCTGTTCTAGTGGCTTTGAGTCGTCCTTCCAGTGTAGGGTCATACAGATCGTAAAAACCTGGGACGTGTCATTTTTCGCTTCTGGGAAGTTGCCTAATCCACGTGAATCGTATGTTTCTATGTCCCATGTTAGAACTAATGCTCGGTCACGAGTAAATAGAAAAGATAGATAGATTCCGTAAAGTAGTCCGAAATCGTCTATGGGGCGGAAGTTTTTGATATGGACATAAAACGCATGTGGACAAAGGTGGGAACGAGCATAATATGGTGCTCCGAAATTATATTTGTAGTCTCTTATTAACCCCCATCCGGAAAGTGGTATCCTATACTCTCTCGCAACTTTACGATAATATGTACCTGTATCATCAGAAGCTGTCTCTATTTTACATTCGGGATCAGCCTCCGAATTATAGTTTGAAATGATATCGAGAGCAGTGAACCTTATATCTTTATTAGGTGCAATGATGCGAAGATATGACTTTTTTTCCGCATGGTAGCCACGAATAGGGTATGCCTTTATGCACTCCCTTCGGATCAGATTCATGTCTACTCTATTCCCCTGGTTGTCTTTTCCAGTAGTAAGTATACCCTTAATTTTGGACCAGAATTTAGGAATACTCGAATTTTCGGGAACGCGAATATCGAAGAAAACCTTAATACCAGTGATAGTTACGACTGCCTTCTGACCATTAATGAGATGTCCATAGATTCGAAGAACATAATGGGGGATTTTATTAATATACTCTTTAGCTTCTTCTATGTCGTATGACACGAATGGAATATCTCGATGATTCGCTATCTCAACTTTGAGAGTTAAAGTCGAACTCTCGTCATTTCTCATAGCTAATTTATCACGGGCTGAGATACCCGCCAAGTAACTTTCACCCCATATCTGATTACCCGACCACTCCATTTTGATGATGTTTTTTCTTTTTCAGCCTCTGGGTGAAAAAGGGCGGGGGCGTCTTCGAAGAAGTCGGATTGGGTCATTTTTTTTTCTCAAGCAAATTAAGATAATTTATAGCTATACCAAAACTCAGGGTATATTATTCGCAAGAAAAAAGTTCAAAATGAAAATAATTCCCCAAGATTATTAATTGATATATATAAATGGAAGGCGAAAAAAAGGAGACACGAGTTCTCAAAATAGAACCACCATCCTGGAATTTTTATTATTGTCCATATATTCTTAGAACTGGAGAAGTATGTAATCGGAGATGCTTTGATCCAAAGGGATGTAAAGTCCATCGGAATTCTAGGCAAGTTCTTTGCAAAGAATGTTGTGACCCGACAAGATCCAAATATGACTATTGCGATACGCATGCAAAAAACATAGATCGAAGGAACATTACCATCGAAAAAAGCTGGCTAAGCAAGCTGATGGTCCCAAAGAGATTCCGCTCAAGTAATTTTAGGCTAATCGAGAGAACTTAAACAAGAATAAGAAGTTGTCACTATCCCTATGGCCTTTTGGACGAACCTACAATAAATTGTAGAATTTCTTGGTGACACTCTTGGTTATGCTCTCGGTGACAAAATTTATAGCTATTTCACATTTTTAGAGCCATCAGAAGGTTTCTAGATAGGTGTCACTATGACACTAAGAGTCACTAAGAAAAATCCGAGTTCCATAACTTTTTTTCATTTTTTTTTTTAGCATATATGTATCACGCATATGTCATATATGTATCATACTATATCGCATATAAGCCATAGGAGTAGCATAGAAAAAATTCGATTTTTTTTCCTAGAACTTTACTTTTTCTTAGTGACTCTTAGTGACTTAGTGACAAATATAAAAGAAGAGAACCGAGCGTCCCCAAACACCGAAAAAGGCATACAAGGGTGTCACTAAGAGCGTCACTAAGAGAGTCACTAACAAATTTTCTTGGTGACGGCATACATACAGGATGGATTCGATATTTTTTTTTTCCTATAACTTTACTTTTACTAGGGACACTAGGGACGCTCAAAAATCGGCATACACACTGCTTCGACCCAGAATAAACTATGATTGGGCCTCTGAAGTGCTTACAACATCCCGCCGATATACCTCGAAAACCTCAGAAGCATAATACCTCCGGCCTCACTCTTGGAGACAAATAGGTAGACGAAAGTAGAATTTAACTTAGCCTGCAATATTGTGTAAGCCATCTAGTGTGATTTGTTGTCCAGTTTCAGGATTTATGATTTGTACTTGTTTAGACATTTTTTTTTTTGCACAAATGCATATACATTGGGTTCTGGAAACATTCCCAGAACATTCCCGTTACTAGTCCGCAACTATGAAAGGGTGTTCGGTGCCGTAACAGGATCACGTGACCATGGCGCAGTAGGCGCAGTCAAAATTCGCTCCATAATTTCTGCCAGTACTATTCCACAATTTCGGCCAGATCTTTGAACATAATAACTCAGCACCCAAGCTGGCCTAAAACTGGCAAAATAATAGAACCTTTCTAGCTCCCTGCCAGTTCCATGACAGCTCCACAGAAGTTCCAGGACACTATCAAGTCACCATCATGGTGCCAAGCTGGATCCTCGAATCACATGCCCAAAAGATCGGCTGAAATTATGGTATAGTGCTGGCCGAAATTAATCGCAGATCTACTGCGCCACCTGACATGATATTTTTTACCATATTTTGGCATTTTGATGGATAACAAAATAGGTGAAGAAGGAAAGCACCCTCGAATCCTTAACAGGTAACCAAAGAGGTACAGAATGGCAGAAACTTCATCATAAAACTTGGGATCCAAACAATTGCAGACAAGCCAGACCTTCAACATAAAGTTTAACAACCAATCAACCGTAGAATCCCAATATCATAAATTATATTGGAAGCTGATTATTCGTGTATAGGATTAAATAAAAATAGGTACATTTCGATTATTTAGTAATAGTAATATTTAGGTTATTTAATCACATGATCACAAATAATAAATGAAAAAAGCTAAAGAAAAGCGAATTCAAAGGGAAGGAATATAGTAAGAAAAATAACTAGGTACAGAAAATTGTCACAAACAGGTTATTTAGTTAGATTATTTAATCATATTTAGGTTATTAACTTTAGATTATTTAGATATATTTAATTTATTTAGATATACTGTATTTAGATTAATTAGTTATATTTAGATTATTTAGTTATATTTAGATTATTTATAGTCATACTTAGATTATTTTATTACTAAATAATCTAGTCTAAGCCGTTTATGACTAAATAATATAATTATATTATTTAGTCATAAATGGCTCATGCAATTAAATTGATAGAATGTGCAACGCATCGCACATTCTCAATCTTTGGATGATTCTCATGTATAATTTTTCGTGCATTACGAACATTGGCCGCATTATCGGAAACTACAGCACATATTCGATCTTCTCCAATACCTTCTATAACCTTTTCAATTACCGTAACTAGATATTCTGCAGTGTGCGAATTTTCAGACAAATCAGAAAGTTGATAAAGATATTCTTTACGCGACGGAGTCATTACAATGAAGTTCCAAATTGAACGATGTGTACCAGACGTCCAACCATCAAAGGCTAAATTATAAATTAATATTATATAGTAAGTAAGATTAAATAAAAATGACGTATGATAGCCTATTTAATTTAACAAACCTAACGTTAAATTCGTTTCCTTTTCAAGCTCAGAATTAACTTTGAAGTTCACTTGAGCTAATTCACGTTCAAGTAGTTGATTTACTAATACTTCCCTTGTTGGTGTATTGTACCCGGCATTAAGCTCTTTTATAAAATTGATGAAAAAGGGATGTTCCACTACTCTAAACGCAATTCCGCACGCAATAAAAAATTTAACTAATGCACGATTAATTCGTGTACATCTTTGTTCGTTAAGCTCTGTTGAATCATGGTAATCATCCATGTTACTTTGACCTTCAGAGTATTTTCTTTTTTTGGATGACTTGGACTTATCTTGCCGTTCCATTACTTTAGTCATATACCTTCTAACAACTGCTGCTGGCGCATCTGGACAATGGTTTGAAAGATGCTCTTCGAGCTTTGAAACTTCACCGCGTGACCATGTATTCTTACAGTACTTGCAGGAGGCGGCAAATTTGCCAGAACCAACAGCTTCTCCTTTATTAATATCTTCCCAAATGCTATTAGGTGGCCGACCTCCTCTATTTTTCATTTTAATGGGTGAATCTTCTATGTGATCAGTCATTTGAAACAGTTTATTATTAATATTATTATTAAGAAAACGGAAGAAAGTAAAAGAAACTTTAGTTCAGTGGTTAAGGAGATGACGGAATTGGGTTTATTAAATGCATGTTACGCATTTTCCTTTAATGAATATAAGCCCCTTAAAAAAAAACTGTAAAAACGTGTAATATCATAATATTAATATGGGAGTTAGAAATGAAAATTCTAACACTAGATAAAGCTTAAAAGAACTAAGACGACGGTAAAATATTGAAGTTTAATCTTTTATCTGTAGATTATTTGATCATCTAAATTATATTATTAATTGGTGTAACTTGGCGTAATTATATGCAAATCTTATGATCAACTATGCCAAAACTACGGAGAAACCTATTATAGAGGTTTCGGCATGTTTTGGCACTATATAAGAGGTTTCACCTTTCGGCATTAGGCCAAACAGGTTTCGGCAAGCAACCTTAACTTTTATATATATTTTATTATATTTTATTATATAATAAGTAATATAAGTGATACAATATATATAATACAGTAGTATAAATGAATCCCATATATATCATTCACTATGTATTAATTAAAAAAAAGCATAGAAAAGTATTGGTATATGTTACATTGTAAAATTATATATAATCTATACTATATAATAATTGTTTTTGTGTGTAACCGTAATGTTTAGACTACCCTGTATAAATAAATTTGAATTGTGTAACATCGCTCCTATTGGGCACTTTATCACGTGACGTTATACTAACTTCCAAAAAAGGAAATTTTGCTTCCCACAAAAATAGGGAATTTTGGTTTCACAAATACTTCATAAAAGGAAATTTCTGCACTGATTACATAATTCTGGCCAGAATTAATTGTTACATACAGGTCACGCTTTTTTTATATGTATGTATACCATTGCAAAGCAACAGGTTAATGGCTAGTATCAGTACAACAAGATTTTTTTATTAATTATGAAATGGAACATAGAAAATTTATCGATACAGGTAATTATCGGTACATAAAATATCAGTACATAGAAGTCTGACTGTATATTTAAGTAGATTTAAGGGTTTGATTAGCATAGTTTACTAGTTTCAGTTTGAGTCATACTAAAATTGAAACTAAATTTCAGTATTAGTAATTGGTAATGTTTTACAAAAGATTTGGACAAATCAAGTTGATTCAAATTCGATTTGGATTTAATTCAATTTGATTTGATATTTTTGATTCATAAATTAAATCTGAATTTTAAATTCAAATTTGAATCAAATTTGAATCAAATTTCAAAGTAATTTGATTTGATCAAATCAAATCAAATCAAATCAAATCAAATTAAATTCAAATTGAATTAAATCAAATTAAATCAAATTGAATCTAAATCAAATCTAAAGCTCTATATAAGCTAGCTTGTAAACCAAAAGTACTTTAAAAGTATATTAGCTTGTGAGTTAGCTTGTGAGCCTTGAAGTACTTTTGGCTCGTAAACTGGCTTATATAGAGCTTTAATCAAATTTGAATCAAATTTGAATCAAATTACTAAATCAAATCAAATTAATTTGAATTATCCAATTTATATTTAAATCAAATTTGGATTGAATCAAATTAAATCAAATCAAATCACAAATCAAATCAAATTAATTTGAATTATTCAAATCAAATTTGAATCAAATTTAAATCAGATCAAATCAAATCACTGAATATTCAAATCAAATTTAAATTAAATCAAATCAAATCAAATCAAATCTGAATTTAACTAAATTCAATTTGATTTGATTTATGCAAAACACTAGTGATTGGTAATTTACCAAATTTTTGATATTAGTAAACTGTATAATTAAACCGGCTGGTAATTACCAATTACTAATACTAATTTACTGAAATTTACTACACTTCAATGTTTATTACAAAACTATATTAAAAAATAAAACTGTATATATATATAGACTAAAAAAGATTATCAGTTGGCCAATCATAAAATAAAAAGTCAGACTGTTTGAAAAATGATAAAACTAATACTGAAAACTGAAAACTGATCAGTTCAGTTTAGTAATTACTGGAACTCCAAGTAGATTTCTAAAAAAAAGGAGGAATTTCTTTCTAAACCTGATAAACCACTATTTTCTAGTGATTTGTGTAGAATAGGATTAGTATTTGCTAGCATAATATATAGTGCAAAGAATTTATCAAAGGCTGACACTTTTACTAGAAAAGCCTTTTAATACAATTTCAATAACTATGTCTTTTCATCTAAGAAATTTACTATAGTCAATTTAATGTGAATACAAGATAATAATCTTAAAAGAACAGTCTAAGAATGTGTACAGAAGCTAAATGGAAAAATGATATGATATCTCAAAGTAGGTCATACAGAGGAAGAAAAAATTATCACATCATGCAAATATACTTATCTGTGCTTTACTACGCCTTATTTTTTTCTAGTAGAATCTAATTAATTCTCTTCCATAAGTCACATTTACATAAGTCAATATTCCGATTTCCATATATACAGATGAATATGAAACATATTAGGTCAAATTTACAGCCCTTTTTAATAATAGAAGGAAAAGGAAAGTTGTTCTCCAACACAAATGTACAACATTTTATCAATTGAAATTGGTCTTAATGCTAGTAAATTAGCTAGTTCATTAAAAATCGCCAAAAAGAACTTCTATAGATAAAATCATCAAATGGGTTGAAAAGAAGTGAAATAAGAAATCAGTTAATTTTTCTGATAGTAGCAGTAGTAATAACAGTAGCAGTAGCAGTAGCATTAGAGGAAGTATTAGTAGAGGTAATATTACAAAATAACTTGATGCTGGGATTCTCATTTATGACTTAGGATCTGAGAACTCCTTCCCTTTTTGATAGCATCATATATTTCTATTGTTACATTCCTCCAGCCAGCCCTTTCTCATATATTACATTACAAAAAAATATAATAAAGATTTTACTTCCAATTTTTAAACATGTGTACTTGTTTTATATGTATATACATTCTCAATATAAATTTTGTGTTCGATTATCAATGAACCTTGCATCAAAAATAACATGTATACAGTCAGACCTCAATATACCGATGCTGTTGGTTTGGGTAAAATATATCGTTACATCAAATTATCATTACATAGTGAATCATAATGTAGGCCAAAGTCTAATTCTTGAAGGCATTATGCAAACTCTCGAGTTTATTTAAAGATTAAATTATAGCTTCTCATTAACATACATTTCATGAAACAAAAGTTGTTCACATTTTGTGTTGAAACAAGATCTAAAAAATCTAATTACTTGGATGGAATGATGGAAATCCTCTTGTTAATTCAGGCCAAGTTTATAGTGCCGACCTGAATTAAATCAGTGTAACCTAAAATATCGGTATACCTTACTATACATCGCGAAATTATATATAATATCGGTACAACGAGGTTTTTTTATTAATTGTGAAATGGGACAACAAAAATTTATCGGTACAGGCAATTTATATCGGTACATAGAATATCGGTACCGACGCAAATATATCGTTTTTGATTAAGGAGGTGATGCTTTTTGATTATAGAAGTTAGTTGTACAAACTGTTGTATCGTTTTTGATTATTGAAAAAATAAATGTATCATTTTTGATTATTGAAAAAAAAATTCTATCATTTTTGATTATTGAAAAAAAATGTATTATTTTTGATTATTCGATAGTATCACGTTTTATTTATTTAATTTATACTTAACAAGTTAATGTATCATTGTATAACATTTAACGCGTTCACATAATACTTTTCACACGACAAATGGTTCAATTCTTTTTCTTTTCCAAAAATTTTGATTTCTCTTTTGATATTTTTTTCTTTATTATATAATAGTTTTTATAATATATTTTGCGTTTTATAACCTTGTTTATATTTTTTACGTGATAATTATTTGTAATAATTTTCTTTCTATAAATTTGTGTAACATTACTATATATTATAATATGGAAACTTACGAAAATCAAATCAAATACAACGATGATGGCTCAGTAAATGTACCATTTGGTCGTGCTGCAGAATGGTATATATCAAATGCAAATCTTTTAAAAAATTATCGCTTAAAAAATCAAAGTAGACAAGTTACTCCTAAACTTGTTAAAGCTGGAATCTTAACTGTAGAACGTGTACAAGGGGCAATAGATTACTTAGCATTGAAAACTAAAACTGGAACGGTAAAATCAACAAATCGTATTGATGATTTTTTAGTTTTAACCAGTTTAGGAAGAGATCTGGTTTCTCAAATTGAATTAGGATTAGCCAAAAACCAACAATGTTGGTATTGGGTTATGTATTGTTCAGGTGATGGAGGCAACTGTCAAAGATTATGTGGTAGTGTTGGAAAATGTAATGAAAATTGCGAAAATTATAATTTACGAAATAATTTGAAAAATGGAAATGATATGCACCATTGTAGTGTCAGAGTTATTTCTGAATGTCGGTTATCTTGGCTATCATTAGAAAATCCATTGCGAATTACCATTCAAGGAACTCATCGTACATTTTACAATAATAATATTCCTAAAATTTCAAGAATAAATTTAACTTATTCTGTTAGAGATTCTATAGTATTAAGCAGAAGAGCAGATTACAGGACAGCCAAAGGGATAAAAGTGAAATTATTAACATCACTTAATGGTGCATCAGAAGAAGTAATTAACAATGCATTAGCAAGCCAACGTATAATATGTAATAATGACAAACTCTGGCAATTTGTTGCCAGAGATGATAAGAAATTAAAGGATGATACTGGTCCTTGGACTCAGCTTGATAGTTTAGTAAATAATATATTAAAATCTCAAGGTTTTATATTATATTATCAAATAGCAGACATTAATCAACCAGCTGATTCACCTGACCGATATTATCAACTTACAATTTCTGATGAGTTTTGGTTAAAAAATGCTCGTGATTACGGTAAAATCTGTAT